TGAGAAAATTCAAGTTACCAGAATATGCGATGATCAAAGACGATTATACCAAAAGAGGACAGTGTAATATTTATGTTTAGATACAGAAACCTTTCTGAAAAGTAAGATTGTACTAGCGTCGTAAGAGCAAAGGTGTGTGCTTTCTTAAATGTCAAATAAAGAACTTGTGTTAATTAAGTCCAAAGTTACAAAATGGAAAAGCATAAATTTCTTTCATCCTTGGTTGCTTGGCTTGTGGATCTAGGAGAATGAGTTCTTGTGTAACACGGCAAACTATTTGGTATATGTGTATTTTTAGATTTATTGCTTAAATTAGCACACAAAGTATGATTAGATGTCATCACGACATTTCAAACTGTTTTGGTAAATTCTTCTCCCCCATTCAACCCCCTCTGCCCTCCCCACCTTAACTCTCCCATCTCCTTTCCATTGTTGAGGAGAGGGATCTCTGCAAACACTAGAGCCTGCAGAGTGTAGGTGGAAACTGCTTGCTCGCTTCCTCACTACTCAGATCCGAATAATCACACAGAAACTATATTATGACACTGCTTGGCCTATTAGCTCAGGCTTCTTATTAACTAACTCTTACATCTTAAATTAACCCATTTCTATTGATCTGTGTATCACCATAGGGCTGTGGCCTACAGGTAAAGGTTCTGGCGTGTCTTTCTTCAGCTACATGGTGACTCCTTGGCCTCACCTACTCTCTCTTTATATCTCTGTTTGGATTTCCCACCTGGCTTTATTCTGTCCTGCCATAGACCGAAACAGCTTAAAAATATTTTCCAAGCAAAGCAACACATATGCATAAGGACACCCCACATCAGCAGAGTAACTCTCCCCCTGTCTCCTTCCATTGTCGGGGTTGGAGTCTCTGCAAGCATTGTGGCCAGCAGAATGAGGAGAAGGAAGGAAGTCTGGGTCACCATAACTCAGTGGACAAAAGGAAGTCTGGTTCGCCATAACTCAGTGGACAGTTTGGGTTTAAATTACTAGAGTCTGACATTGGGTAGTTTATTTTACAACTATCTAAGCACAGCACAATTCGGAGAAAAGTTTCCTGTGATAAATTAACTTTTTGCGCACAACAAAAGCTTAAGACATGACTACATCAAAATTCTTGTAAGGCACAGGTAGCGTCGTCCATAAAGACAGGTTTTCTGGATTAACTGAGGAAACAGGCACAAGGTAAACAACGCTCCTGATCAGGGTCTGGGGAGGCTGGAGCTCTAGACGGACTGAGATAAACATCTGGGTCTGGGGAGGAAAGAGCCCTAGATTGACTGAGATAAACATCTGGGTCTGGGGAGGAAAGAGCCCTAGATTGACTGAGATAAACATCTGGGTCTGGGGGAGGAGAGAGCTCTAGACTGACTGAGATAAACATCTGGGTCTGGGGAGGAGAGAGCTCTAGACTGACTGAGATAAACATCTGGGTCTGGGGAGGAGAGAGGTCTAGACTGACTGAGATAAACATAAGAGTGGGGGGGAGGCTAGGTCTCTAGACTGACTGAGATAAACATCCAGGTCTCAAGGAGGCAGTGTGGCCTGACGGCACAGACAGTGCAGAGGTCACCAGGCCATTAACCACCTCTTTCCCAGCCTTCTGGACAGAAAGAGGTCGTACATCCTCTACCCTCAACAAGACCACGCTCCATGTCTAATACCCCTGGTTTCCTGGTGCTCATCTGTGAGCACAGTGACCTCCGTGTCTTCTGCACATGTTCACGGCACGCGTGCCCTCACGCCCTCTCCCTCCTCAGCACCTGTTTCTCCATCTTGGTTTCCTTTTTCATCTTTCCCAGTTCCCAGCCATCTGTGTGCATGAATGCCTACATCACAAGCTGGGATCTACACAGGAGAAGAAACGCGCTCCTGCTTTGAATCTTTTTTGAGCTTGCGTCACCTTGCTCTATCTCTAGATCCATACGTTTCCCTGCAGATTTCATAATTTCTCCTGTTTCCAGTCGGGTAGAATTCTGTTATCTATATGTAATCTATGTATGGAACGAGCCATTTTCATTACCCACTTACCTGTTCATGAGCTTGCTCTGCCCCCTTGTGATTGTGGGTGGAGCAGCAGTGGGCACAGGTGTGCAAGCTTGACATGATTCTTTTTCTACTTTTTTCATGAATTAAATCTGTTCTTGGGCCGTTCCTGATTACTCCCACCCCACGGTTACTTACTAACCACTCCCCATACAATGAGAGAAAAGAAATGTTGAAGAGGAATTAAGAATAACCACTTGAGAGAAATTTCAGCCTTTAGATAGATGACTTTTTTCATAGAATTATTTTTTTCTGAGAAAGAAGAGGTTGCATCTTTAGCATGGTCCCCGGAGAGAGGACAAACAGCAGCCGACGAATTCCTTCAGCTGCAGTCACTATAGGAAGGAAATCCAGTGCTACCTAAAATAGTACTACTTAAAACAGAACTTCAAGTTTTTACCATTGACATACACTTCCAATTCTAAGCAAACACCGTGCCAGGTAAAAAGCCAAAAGTATTAGCTCTAAAGACCAGCTTCTGATTACTGATGTTGTACCTTACGGGCCAGCTAGATTCCAGCCTAGTACAGCATGCTTCTAACAACGCCCTTCGTTGTTAAAAGCAATCTTGTGTTCAGAACACACAGTAGGACTCTGTCCAGGGTTCTAGAGACAGTGAAGGATGCCGGTGACTGGTAACGATTCCTGTTTTCCACCACTTGTGTATGTCAGTTACCATTTCAAGTAATTGCGTAGTGTGGATGCACTTAGCGAAGCCTTCGCCCCGGGCGGTCAATGCTGTTCATCTCTTGCTGATGGAGGGAGAAAGGTCAGAGAGCCTTGTGCCAAGACAGACAGCCCAGTGAGATGGACAGCTGGACGTAACTGTGAGCCCTCTAGGCTGCTTAACTCCCCTGCCATACTCTCCGTGATCAAGTTCCAGGGATGCTACTGTCTCAGCCCCCTGTGTGGCCACACGCAAGCTTTCCTTCTGCTCTCTGTAACTAGAGGGTTCTTTACATTTTCCTTTGACATTAGCTGCAGTGAATGTTGTTTAGGTTGATTGGCTAAAAAATGGCCTTTTTTTTTTTTTTTTTGGTTTTTCGAGACAGGGTTTCTCTGTGGTTTTGGTGCCTGTCCTGGAACTAGCTCTTGTAGACCAGGCTGGTTTCAGAGATCCGCCTGCCTCTGCCTCCCAAGTGCTGGGATTAAAGGCGTGCACTACCTCCGCCCGGCTTAAAAATGGCCTTTTCTACCTTCTTCATTTTTCTATTCCTTCCACTAAAGCTATAAGCTGAACATGGGCTATGCATCTGCATCATTTTCTGATCTCCTTTGACCCGGAAACCTCTTCCCTATCAACATTTCTAACCGCAGAAGGCTCTTGGTCTCTGAACCTAAACCTGTTTTGCCTGCTAAGTGGGGAAGAAACTCCTTCAGAGGACCTGGGGGGCTGGGACGTGAGATGGTGCCTGTGAAATGCCTCTTCCAGTCCCGAAACACTAAACACCCAGCAAGCCTGTCTTAAATAGTACAAAAATCAGGAAGATGCTGCACTTTTTGAATTTTTGTGCACTGTTTTGTGTTAGGCTTCCACTTCCATAGGCTGTTATCAGGTTACCAGATAGTGTGTGTTATGAAGGGACTCCGTGGAATGGAGGGAAACTTGAAGCTAAATTAATTTTAGCATTATGAGAAGTACTTAATGTGCCTGTATAAAAATATCACAACAGAGCCTCTCATTTTGCTTAGTTATCATATACCAATGGAGCCATTTACTCAACATCACTTTTAGTACCGTCTACCGTAAGCAGGGTATGCCCTCTTGAAGCCCTGGAACATACGATTGTGAGCTTAGGCTACGTTAAGTTCAAGTGTCGTGGGATTTCCGCATTTAGAGAAGGTTCATAATGGCCACTGTGGATTTCTGATGGCTTATCTCGAGAGAGTTGGCGTTCTAACTGCTCTAACCAGGGGCTGTACCTCTATAACCACCTATAAGCACTGGTATTGTCCCCCTTTTATTGATAAGCACACAAGATGAAATAAGTTAACTGATGGAGGAAGGTCATTGGCTAATAAAGGAACTGCCTTGGCCCATTTTATTGGTTAGAGGATAGGTGGGAGGAGTAAACAGAACAGAACGCTGGGAGGAAGAGGAAGTGAGCTCAGTCTCGACCGCTCTGCTCTCGGGAGCAGACACCTGAGAGAGACGCCATGCCCCGCTCCCGGGATGAAGCTCCTACCCAGGATGGACTAGGCTAGAATCTTCCCGGTAAGCGCACCTTGGGGTGCTACACACAGATGATTAGAAATGGGCTAAATTAACATGTGAGAATTAGCCTAGAAGAAATTGGGCCAAGCAGTATTTAAAAGAATACAGTGTCCGTGTAATTATTTCGGGCATAAGCTAGCCGGGCAGGCGGTCGGGGTGCTGAGAACGCAGCCGCGCCGCCCTTATTACTACATTTTGGCGCCCAACGTGGGGCTCGAACCCACAACCCTGAGATTAAGAGTCTCATGCTCTACCGATTGAGCTAGCCGGGCAGGCGGCTGGGGTGTTGGGGACGCAGCCCCGCCGCCGCCCCTATTACTTCAGTTAACCATTCAAACATTTGTAGTGGTACAAGGTACGGAGTTCCCCATACCCGAATTCTTCTGCACTTAAAATAGGGATGAAAATCACTTCCAAGGGTTGTTTTTTGAGAGCATGAGATAATGCATACAAGGTGTCAGGAGTCTTCACTGAACCCTGGGTGCTCAGTAAGGATGCCGTGAAAAGTACCGTGTGCCGTGGGAATTCATCTATGCCTCTGCTGAGAAACTCAGCTGTTTCTATGACGCTATTCATTATTAACGTTTGTTTCCTTAGAGTTTTGATGCTCCTTACTAGAAATAAGGGTGTGACCCAGCCAGGGAAAGTGCAAAGTAAAGAATAACCTTTTTATCCTGTGTGAAAGTTTCAGCAGCATCCATGTTCCGTAGCTGACGTTGGTCTGTCTGTTTTCCAGGTAGTTAGATTTCACGGTGGAGCTTATCCCGCCTACGTGGTGTCTAGCATCATGCTTGCTTATGGAGGACAGTTGTCTTCTCTCCTCTCAACAGGTAAAAGTACCAACACCATCAGAGTTGAAATAGAGCCACTGTTAGTTCCGTGGCGTTTTCCCTGTGGATTTTGTTTGGTTTTGTCTTTTCCGGTACTGGAGATCAAAACTAAATCTTGTGCAGTCTAAGAACTGCTGCTCGGCTTTATTATTCCCAAGGTCATAGATATTTAGGTTATGCTGTATTGGACGGCACAATAAGAAAGTTCTTAGGATTAGCTGCCGCCACTGTCCTTGGAAACTCCAGGATGGTATGTGGCTTTGTGACCAGTCTTCAGGTCTTTGTGGTGTTTTCAGTACCTTTGCTTTCCTCTCCTCCCTTTCCTCTCCTCCCTCCCCTTCCTCTCCTCTCCTCCCTCCCCTTCCTCTCCTCTCCTCCCTCTCTTCCTCTCCTCTCCTCCCTCTCTTCCTCTCCTCCCCTTCCTATCCTCTCCTCCCTCCCCTTTCCTCTCCTCCGTCCTTTCCTCTCCTCCCTCCCCTTCCTCTCTTCCTCTTCCTCTCCTCCCTCCCCTTCCTTTCCTCTCCTCCCTCCCCTTCCTTTCCTCTCCTCCCTCCCCTTCCTTTCCTCTCCTCCCTCCCCTTCCTCTCCTCCCTCCCCTTCCTTTCCTCTCCTTCCCTCCCCTCCCTCTCCTCCCTCTCCTCTCTCTTCTTTCTCCCCTCCCTCCCCTTCCTTTGCTCCCTCCCTTTCCTTTCCTCTCCTCCCTCATTCCCCTAGCCTTTTTGTCCTAAACTTTAAGCCAATGCTTCATTACCAAACACTTTAAAACTCTTACACATGGCGGAAGAAGACACAAGATACAGTCACTGCTGCCTGGCCTCGCAGGGGAAGGTGGGGAGATCTTAGCCTCACTTCTTCCCTCTCTCCCGTTCGCTGCTGTTGCCCAGAGGCCTCCAGAGCCAGCAAAGTGAAGGGCAGAGCGGCTGTGAAGAGATGCAGAATATGGTTCCCAAGAGGCTAACTCCTGGACAGTCTCAAAGGAGAGGGGAGGTGGGAGAAGAGTGAGGCCAAGCTACAGAAAGCCAGGAATCTTCCCCCACCATTTCTGTGTGCCAAACCTTCTTCTGACTACTCCGTTCTTGTAATGCCCTTCACGAAACTTGAGTGGCCTTTGCGAATTTATTGTTCATATTTAATCTGCTAACCCATATTCTAAAGAGAGGAAAGAAATGTGGTCTGCCCCAGAACCAGCCATTTAAAAAAAAAAAAAACTGGTGTTTTGCCTGCATGTATGTCTGTATGAGGGTGTCAGATTCCCTGGAACTGGAGTTACAGACAGGTGTGAGCTGCCATGTGGGTGCTGGGAATTGAATCCGGGTCCTCTGGAAGAGCAGCTTATGCTCCTAATGACTGAGCCATCTCTCCAGCCCCAGAACCAGCCTTTAAAAAAAAAAAAAAACGATACAAAGTATTAAATATTATAACTGATTTATATAACTGAAGTATATTATAATTGATTTTCCCCTAGTCTCCCCCTTCCATCTTTTGTGACCCCCCCTTTCGTGTCACATGACCCAGTGTAGACTTCCCCTGCCCCCCCTCAGTGCCTTTTCACTCTTGATCTCCTCTGCATTTTAGGCCTCACTCCTGTTTGCACCCACTTACATGCATGCACACATGCATGCAAACTAGGCTCTTCATAGGGAGCACATGCAACTGCTGTCTTCCAAGTTCCAGACCTAGCCTCGTAACGGTGGAGCTAGTCTGGAAGTGTGACGTCAGCCAGGCCCTTAGGATGCACGTTGGTCTTTGGAAAGAGACTTCGTACTGCTTTGTTGCCGCAGACTGATAATTGGTTCCGAATCGCAGAGAACTTGCCGGGCTGTCTGTGGAGACGCTTGGACATTGGAAACTAGCTCTTCTAGAGGATTTAAATGTATGAGCAGGTCTCAAACAAACGAAGGGGCTGTCGTACACCAACTATGCAAATCGCAAGTCACCTGCAGACGGTACCCGCTGCAATGAGCCCAGTAAATGACAGTATGCTAATAAGGAAGTGGAGAGATTGCAACCGCCATGCAAATCTGTGGGAAACAGTCTGACAGTTCCTCAGCTGATGAGCAGGGTTGCCTTGTAACCCAGCACCTCTGTTCTCAGGAACACGCCAAGGAGAACTGAAAGCCTTCATTCACATAAGAATGTTCATGAGTGTCCACGGTAGTTCTATTCATAATAGCAAAGCAGTCGCTGAAAAGATACGTTCACCGATAAAAAGAAAGAAGGGCCGAGGGTGTCGCTCAGTGGTAGGGTGCTTGCCCAATGGCTCTCACTGCGTTTGGTCCCTAACACTCCCCAAAATATATATATATATATATATATTAATTTAATATATAATATTAAAATATAGTTGAATCTTGGCAAGTATTGATTGAAAGAAGCTGATGACAAAGATCACATAGCCTATGATTCCATTAATATCACATGCCCAGATGTCTTGAATGACAGCATTTAGATTAGTGACTGCCAAATGGTGGCTAATTTCAAAGCAGACATTGTCTCTAAGGTGATGAAAATGTCCCGAGACTGACTGTATGTGAGGAGGCATGACCAAATACACTAAAAGTCCTTGAACCTATGGACTGTGAATGGATGGATTCTGTGGCATAGGAATTGTATCTCAATAAAGGACTCTCTGTGGTAGGACGAGAGCCCCTGCAGTTTCCGGTGCACAGTGCTGTTCTTTTGTTGTGTGTTACCTTGGCATTCAGAGATAACGTACATTTGTTTAATTACTGTGATTTCCTCATTGCCCACAAATGATTTTCTTTAATCCCCAGGTTATTGCTTAGAATACGCAACCATATTGGATAAAGAGGCCAAACCATACAGAGTGGACCCTTTTGTGATTATGATAAAGTTTCTGTTGGGGTAAGTTGTATTATCTGTGATAGTGATTTTAATTTTGTTTGTAAGATAATTATGTTTTTATTCCATAATGTAGTAGGAATTTTTATATGTATTTGGCAATTGATTTTTTTTTTATTAAACTGAAACGTTTAGGGGGAAAAAAAGCCCAATGTGTCTATTAACATTTATTCCCAGTAATGTGATCATTTCAGAAGTAATTGCAGACTTTTATATATAAGTAATTATATATTATATGTGTCTAAAAATCTAAAGCTTAAACTTTAACCGGGTTAATATCTGTTACTGATTTTCTCACATTTGGTAATTTTTTACTTTTATACTGTCATTCTAAATAGCTCTTGACTTCCTGACTTTAAACATGTAAATACTGTGTTTGTTCATGCTGTAATTGATAGGAGTAAGGTAGCTCCCAGGCCCCTTGGTCTTGGATACTTAAAGGATTATGAGCCAAGGCCTGGGACGTTTGCTTGGTGGGTAAAAGTACTTACTGCAGAGACTGTGAAAAAGCAGTTGTGGATCCTAGCACTCAGGAGGCAGAGGCAGGCAGATCTCTGTGAGTTCAAGGCCAGCCTGGTCTACAAGAGCTAGTGCCAGGACAGGCTCCAAAGCTACAGAGAAACCCTGTCTCGAAAAACCAAAAAAAAAAAAAAAGCGGTTGTGGTTGTGTTTGCTTGTAAAACCCCATTGTTGAGTGGCCAAGGACAGCCGGCTCCCGAGAGCTTGCTGGCTAAAATGGCAAACCACCAGTTTGGTGACAGACCCTCTCCTAAGGGAAGAAGGCATAGAGCTGTAGAGGAAGGTGTTCAGTATCCTCCTCTGGCTACCATGCACACCGCGCACACACACACACATACACACGCATATGCACATGCACATTGCACACACATACACACATGCACACGCGTACACACCCATACACACATGCACACACATGGAAGGGAATGAAGTAAAAGCCATGCGTGCTTGGACACACTTGTAATCTCAGCATGCAGAAGGTAGAGGCAGGAAGAGCTGTCCTTCAAAGCTAGCCTGAGCTACATAAGTGCTTCTCTGAAAAACAAATGAAAAATAATTAAGATTTGTTTTCAGTATATTTTGCAAACTGACTTAGCCCTTTAAAGCTTCTAACAGATGGCTGAACATCTCAAATAGAAAGTTAAACACTAGTGTTTGTTTTGCTTCGATTTTTATGGTTCCCTTTGTCCATTTTCCAGGTATGGATGGTTTAAGGACTTATGGGATGGACTGTTTCTACCGGAATTAGAGGCCATTGTTCTAACCAGTCAGAGTATGTGTTTCCCTCTGGTGTCCTTGATTCTCTTTCTGCTCGGAACTTGCACCGCGTACTGGAGTGGTCTACTCTCTTCGGCATCTGTGCAGCTCCTTTCCTCGCTGTGGCTAGCTCTCAAAGGGTAAGGTCGTCCTCAAAGCGTTCTTACTCCTCCTAGGGGAGAAAATATTGGGGGTGGAAGTGCAGCCTGGCGGAAGAGCTTGTGCCTAGTGTATGCCAGGACCTGAACTTGGTCCTCAACACTGAAAAGTCAGGAGGAGGAGAGAGGAGGGGCAAAGTCCGAAATCATATGTATGTACAGTCATATTCCAGTAGGAAACCTTACAACCTTTAGTTGTCTCTTATTTTGTAAAGACTCTCACTTCTGTTATCAAACTTAACGGCAGAGGACGTCAGCCTTGGCCTTTACCATCTGATGGATTAAGGCCCTAAAAACAGCCTGGTTGTATTACAGGCCCAAAGTCAGTTTGAATTTAAACTTACTAGTGGCTTTTCTGATAAATTTCCAATCTAGTTCTCTTTTGACTCCACCACCACACCGGGTGACTGTGATGTGGTTTCCTGTCACACGGGAGGTCATAGATGCTGCTGCTTCCTTCACCATTCAGAGGGGGGTCTCAAGTTTCTGTTAGTGAGACCCCAGGCTCACAGGAGGAAGGACTGGGCATGCTTGACACAGGATCTGCAAATAATTGTCCCGTTCCTTTCCTGGTACAAGTTCCAGGCGTAGTATAAACCGTCCTCACAGTGTGGAGAGCTGCTGTCCCCGCTCATCTTCGCTGAGAAACATGTTTCCTTTGTGTTTGTTTTGGACACAGTTTGGGTTCATAGTTTGCTCTGTGTCCCTCGTATACTAATAACTCGCCAGCTGAGGAGCCGGTAGAGCCCTCCGTCGGAAATGCTCAGCCAGAGACGGTTCCAACTCCAGACTTTCTTAGAGTTTGAAATGTTCGCATATACGTTAGGAAGCATCTTGGGGATGGCACCGGGATCCAAGTACGATATGCATTTGTCTCACATTGCTTTGTCTACGTAACTTGAAGCTTATTTTACAGTTTCCTCGACACACCCGTGTTCTGGCTCTGGCCTGGCATACGCGGTCGCGACTTAGAACGCTCCTCTTGTCGCGTGTGTGGCCCTTGGCCGATACATCGTCTCCTTCTTCTGTGGGCGGTTGGATTTCAGAAGAAAACTTTGTTCCTTTTATTCTAGACCTGTTGAGCTTCCCAAAGATGTCAGGGCGACGGCCTCAGACTTGCCTTTCGCGACATGTGTCTTTCTCATAGTGAGCTGGACCACCTGTGGGGCCCTCTCTATCCTGCTGTCTTACCTGTACTATGTGTTTAAGGTACGTCGGCTCAGTAAAGCCAGAGGCCCGGGCTCAGCATCCGGCACCTATAGCAGCCCCACAGGCATTATTAACCAACATTGTGATTACTCCTGAATGCAACCCTCTAGTACGTCAGAAAGTTGGTGTAAAGGGTTTTTTTTTAATTTTAATTTTTTTTATATCTTGGTTATTTAACTTGTATTTAGTTAAGTATAGAATTGATATAACTGGTCTGAGTTGGGGGTTTGGTTAAAGCAAAGGGAGAAGATATAATCTGTTTTAGGATACTTTTTGTTCTTAAGAGCATTAACTTTTTAAACCCTTTTTAGCATAGATTGACTCACTCAGACCTTTCACACGAGGAGGGAACGGAAAAGTTAGTTTTATCAAGTTGTCTGCCATGTCAGCGACTACTGACATGTGTTGCTGAAGACTCGAAGGCAATGGTAACAATATAGTGATGATTTTATTGCATAAACTAACAGCCTCGGGGGCTGGAGAGATGGCTCAGTGGTTAAGTTCAATTTCCGGCAACCACATGGTGGCTCACAACCATCTGTAATGACATCTGGTGCCCTCTTCTGGCCTGCAGACATACACACAGAATATTGCATGCAAAATAAATAAATAAATAAATAAATAAATAAATAAATAAATATTAAAAAAAACCCAAAAAACTAACAGCCTCGAAGGGGATCCAGGAGACGACAGGCTGCGTCTGTGGTATATTGATCACGTGGTGGACAGTCACAGCACACTGGATAATTGATCACGTGGTGGACGGTCACAGCACACTGTATTGATCACGTGGTGGACGGTCACAGCACACTGTATTGATCACATGGTGGACGGTCACAGCACACTATATTGATCACGTGGTGGACAGTCAGAGCCACTGTATTGATCACGTGGTGGACGGTCACAGCACACTGGATATTGTTTTTACTCTTTATCAAGGCTCTATCTGCCTCTTTTTAAACTAAGACATGCACACTGTAGGTTATTTTCAGTTTTTTAAAGTCACTTCTGTAAATCTGGAAGCCGTCTAAGCTACTTCAGTTTATAAATGATATGGTTAGGTTCTGTTTCTTTGGCTAGACATTTTTTTAAAAAAACAACTCACTAGGGCTGGAGAGATGGCTCAGTGGTTAAGAGCACTGGCTGCTCTTCCAGAGGTCCTGAGTTCAATTCCCAGCAACCACATGGTGGCTCACAACCATCTGTAATGAGATCTGGTGGCCTCTTCTGGCCTGCAGGCATGGAGGCTGAACACTCTGTGTAGAAAATAAATAAATCTTTTTTTTTTAAAAAAAAAAAGACTCACTAGACAAAAGTCCCTCAGATATTTAACTCGAGGGAAACAATAAATTTATAAAATTTTCTCAAAGTCTTGTAGATATTTTACCACTACATATAATGGGACATTTTCATATAATATTGACTATAATTAAACTTTGATCTATGAGGCATGCAAGATTGCTATGGGAAGCCCTTATTCAAGCATAAGTTCACAGGAGTTGAAATGTCTTTGCCTATTCTGGAAGTTTGTATCGTTTCTGTTTTGTGTTTTTCTTTTTAAACCCTTAAGTTAGCATCTGTTATGAGTTATCTTTCTTAGACTACTGTTTTCAAAGGCCTAAGTGAGGCCTGGTTGCTTATATTTGTTGATGTTTTCATTATTGCTCATTTTTATTTTATGCATATGAGTGTTTTGTTTGCCCCGTGTGTGCAGTGCTCATCAAGGCCAGCAGAGGGCCTCAGAACCCCTGTATGTGGAGTCCTGGTGGCTGGAGCCCTGTGGAGCCTTGGAACGAAACCCAGGTCCTATGCAAGAGCAGTTAGTGCCCTTAACCACTGAGCCATCTCTCCAGCTCCGTTTTTATATTTTTGAAAATTTCATATTATAATGCTTCTTAGTTTGAAAAAAAGTCTATTGTTTTGTTCCAAATACATGTGAAGTTAAAGTCATCTTCCCTTCTCAAGGTCGTCCATCTGCAAGCCTGCCTGACGACGTTTAGAAACAGCCAGCAAGTGGTGAGCTTTGTCTTCTAAGCACTGCACACTGATATAAAAGTCCGTGAGAAAATAGATGTCTGGGATTTTATTGTTGTGTTTTGAAGTTGTGAGGGCGGGCGTTAGGATTTTACAGTGTTTAAAAAGAATTGCAAATGTAAGTAACTTTAAGTCAAGGAACAGTAAAGTAGACCTGAACTGTCCTGTTTAACTTGCTCCTGGGCTACCTTCACCTTCAGCACTTTGCTGTTAAAAAGTACATTTTGAGTTATTACTAGCAGTAGAAAGAGAAGTCAGACACGTAGCTGAGCATGGTTACATATGCACCCGGAAGCTGAAGCAAGGGGATAGCTTGAGCCAGGGCAACAAAGCAAGATCTCATCTCAGATAAAACCAAAAAGAATAAACTGTAGTGACGATAACAATTTTAAAGTACTTCAAGGACTAACTTCAGTATTTTATTTATGGTTGGTAATAAAAGATGATGTAGTCAAGCAGTGGACCATCATTGATTCTAAGTGATATCGTGAACTTATTTTGGTTTATTCCTAACTTGACATTCTCATGTGATCGCTTCCTAGAATCCCAAGCACTCGAAGAGAAGCGAGAAGAAGTCCAACCACTACAAAGACTCGTCGGTGCAGGGTCCCCGCCTGTCTGTTCAGGATGTTGAGGACAGTCTGCGCATGCACAGCACCGTGATTAACCTACTGACCTGGGTGGTGCTGCTCAGCCTGCCGTCGCTCATCTATTGGCTGAAGAACCTTGGGTGCGTGACTGATGGACGTATTGCTTGTGTGGTTAGACACTAGCGCTCTCTCTGTAGAACCTTTCCGGATTCCTGATTAGAAATGGTCTCTAAAAATCAGCTGAAGGAAGTGATGTGCATTTTTTTTTTTACCAACAAAAGTTTTTTTTTTTTTTAATTTAGAAACTGGTTTTATTATGTGTAGTATACAAGATAATGAGTTTGGTTGTGACATTTTCAGACATGCCTCTTACTCGGTGGAGGTCACCTTCTCCTTGTCCCAGCGTCTCTTTTCCATTGATCCCCTCCTCTTTCCAACAGGACTCTGTACAAACAGCCTTTTTTAAAAAAAGAAAAAAGCTCAGTAAAATACCTAGGAATAAACCTAACCAAGGAGGCCAAATGAAGCAACGGTAAAATTTGTCTGGAAGTGCGATGGATTCCACATAGCCAGCGTGATCCCGAGCGAAAGGATCTGTGCACAGCGCGGCTGCCTGCAGATGATCGGTTCAGCAGTGCCAGTGGCTACTAAGTTATGAACGTAGATGCTAATTGACAGAAATGAATGGAGACAATGTAACATGTGTGCACACACAATGGGGTACTCTTCAGCCAGAAAGACCGAAACTGTGTTGTTTGCAGGAAAATGGATGGAATTGGAAGGGTATCCTATGAAGTGAAGTGAACTAGACTCAGAAAAGTGAATTTGTTCTCTCTAATATGTGAAATTTAAGAAACAGATATGAAAGCACAGAAGGCTCTGTAGTATCCATTGGAGTTTTCCCAGGATCAGCTTGAGTTCGTAGGCTGCTTTGTATAAGGAACCATTTTTACAGTATTCTTCGTGCTGATCCGTACGAGGTGTTTCAGTCTCTCGGGTTCCCTCGGTTTCTGTCTTTGGTGGTTTACAGGTTTTATTGCGGAGATCTTTAGCCTCCTTGGTTAATTCCTAGGTGTTTTGTTGACTTTTTAAAGGCTGTTTGTACATGGTTCTGTTTTTCTGACGTCACTCTCAGTGTGTTCACTACTGACAAAGAAACAGATGTTGGTCTTGTGTCTATGACATCATTCTCAGCGTGTTCACTGCTGACATAGAGACAGATGTTGGTCTTGTGTTTATGACATCATTCTCAGCGTGTTCACTGCTGACATAGAGACAGACGTTGGTCTTGTGTTTATGACGTCACTCTCAGCATATTCACTGCTGACACAGAAACAGACTTTGTTCATGTGTCTATGACATCACTCTCAGCGTGCTCACTACTGACATAGAAATAGATGTTGGTCTTGTGTCTATGATGTCACACTCAGCATGTTCACTACAGACATAGAAACAGACGTTGGTCTTCATGTCTGTTACTTTGCTGAAAGTGTTTATCATATCTAAGAGTTTCCTGCTGGAATTTTGAGGGACTTTTAAGTATAAGATCATATTTTCTACTAATAGGGATAGCTTGACTCTTTTATTTTTATCCCTTTTATTTCATCTTCTTGCCTTATTGGTCTGACTGAAACTTTGAGCATTCTGTTGAGTAAGAACAGCAGAGTAGACATCCTGCCGTTGTCCTGGTTTCAGAAGAAGCCCTGGCAGCTTTTCTCCCCTCGGTGTAAAGTTCGCTCTTGGTTGGTCATGTCTGTCCTTTACTTTGCTGACCTGTTATCTTTGTAGTCTTGGATCCTTAGGGCTTTTTTCATGAGTGGATTCTGAATTTTCTCAAAGGCTTTTTTTTCCCATCTAATGAGACGATCCCATGGGTTTTGTCCTTTATTTTATCCATGCATTAAATCATGTTGTTTTATTTGTGTGTCTCGGCATCTTTGCACCCCTGGGTTGAAACTGGCCTGATTGCGTCTTTTAACTGTGTTGTTGTATTTTATCGAGAATTTTTGTGTTGCTTCTTCCGAGAGAGATGGGTCTATAGTTTCCTTTTTGTTGGCTCCTCGAGATCCGATCAATACTGTTTTGCAGACTGACAGTGTTCCTTCTCTTTTATGGATTGATTGACGAAAACCGATGTGTGTGTTTTAAAGTGCTGATTAAACCCGTTTACTCCTAGACTTTTCTGTGTTAGTTTGGTTCAGGGTTTGTCAGTATTGCTTACCATTGCAGAGAACCTACTCTTTATTTCCTTACTCCCCTTTATTGTCCCTTGAGTCTCTAACTCATTATTCCTAATGCTTACTTCTGTCTTCTAATTTAGAGTTTAGTTTGTTCCCTCTTGCAAAGACCTCTGTGTGCACCACTAGGTTGTTTGAGGTCTGTTTTTTAAATGTAGGCCTTTATAGCTATAACATTCCTGTTTGAACTTTCTTTGCATTATTCCAAAACTTCCGATAAGCGATGTTTTCATTTTCATGTGATTCTATGCTTTTTAATTTCCCTTGATTAAAGAAATCAATCCCACCGATCATACGGAATTGTATTGTTTAAGTTCCACATGCTTGTATGATTTCTGTGGTTTCTTTTGTTGTTGATTTCTAGTCTTGTTCTGTAGAAGGGAGCTGCAGGCCGCTTCCCACCGCCTGGCTCCCAGCCGCCTGGCTAGCTTATGCTCCGAAATAACAACACACAGATTGTATTCTTTTAAACACTGCCTGGCCCATTATATCTAGCCTCTTCTTGGCTAACTCTCACTTTTCGACTAGCCCATTTCTAATAATCTGTGTAGCACCACGAGGCAGTAGCTTACCGGGAATGATTCTAGCCTACATCCATCTTGGGCCGGAGCTTCATTGCATCTGACCCAGAGAGGAGAGGCATGGCAATTACCTCACTTCCCTTCTTCCCAGCATTCTGTTCTGTCTACTCCACCCACCTAAGGGATGGCCTATCAAATGGGCCAAGGCAGTTTGTTTATTAACCAATGACCTTCCTCCATCATTGTTCTATTATGATTTGGTAAGGAACAAAAAATTATTTTAGCGTCTTAAAATTGAAGACTTGTTTTTTTTTTTTTTTTTTTGGTTTTTCGTTTTCGAGACAGGGTTTCTCTGTGGTTTTGGAGCCTGTCCTGGAACTAGCTCTTGTAGACCAGGCTGGTCTCGAACTCACAGAGATCCGCCTGCCTCTGCCTCCCGAGTGCTGGGATTAAAGGCGTGCGCCACCACCGCCCGGCAAAATGAAGACTTGTTTTAAGCCCTAGCATGTGATCTGTTTTGGAGAAAGTTCTGTGGGCTGCCAAGTGTAGACATTTCCCAGCAGGTGGGTAAAATATGCTGTTGGCGGCGGCTAAGTATGTTGATATTTGAAGTAGTTAAATCTGGAATTTGACAGAAGGGTATGTGACTATATTGTCTCTGAACTTTTTGAAAATTAATTAATTTGATTCTGATCCTTTTATAGCTAACAGTCCTGCCTTATTGATCTGTCTTCTTATTCTAGGTATTATTTTAAACTTCAGCCCGACCCCTGCAAACCCCTGGTGTTTCTCCTTACTCCGGCTGTAGGGATTCTCGGAAATTCTTTCACAGTGACCGTAAAGTCAAGGTACAGTGGTTTACGTTACGTCTTCATCTACTGCTGGCCTTTATCATTTTATTTCTCGAAGTATGCTTTTTATTTGTATTTAATTCAACTCTCTAAAAGTAAAGCCATGGGTGATAGTGGTTTATATGCAAGTGTAGTTCATATGCAAATATATTCTGCTTGTTTTCTTAATTGTAGGAGTTTTGTTAGGAAATGGGTCAGTTATTTTCTTTTAAAACTTAACGCTTGGGGCTGGAGAGATGGCTCAGCAGTTAAGAGCATTGCCTGCTCTTCCAAAGGTTCTGAGTTCAATTCCCAGCAACCATATGGTGGCTCACAACCATCTTTAATGAGGTCTGGTGCCCTCTTCCGGCCTGCAGGCATACATGCAGACAGAATATTGTATACATAATAAGTAAATAAATAAATAAATCTTAACTCTTAAGTGGTACAATATCTAAGATTTGACTTCCCAAAAGTATAGAAGTCATATATGTAGATGAACTTGAGACTGAATGATGTCCATTTGAGTCATCTGGGTAACGGGCGAGGGCTTTGTGCTCTTGGGCCTTTTATGTGGATGTGTTTGAGGTGCTCGTAACAACTCTTGGTCTTCTTGGAGCCTTTGCTCTGGGAGGCGCTTGCAGCTTGCATGGGAGCAGAAGTGCTGTTGCATGCCTGGGTCTGAACGCATGGGAGGGAAAGCAGGAGGCTCTGCAGCCAGGGCCATCCTCAGCCGTTTAGAATTGGTGGCCAGCCTGAGCTACATAGGCCCATGTCTGTAGTAAGGAGGGGTGTTCAAGTTCAAGTTCAAATACACCGCATAAATAAGCAAGAGCAAATCTTGACTTGGTCGTGTCGATAAGATTTACCTCTAGCCTCCGTTTCTCCATTTTCAGTGTAAAGTCTAAGGGGTTTCCCCTGGAACTAGTTTCTCTTTAAATAGTTAATGTTTTGGTTTATATAGTTCCTTTCTAAAGAAAAAGATGCATGGTCTTGTTTTGTTTCTCTCTTTTTTCATTTGATTTTGCAGCTGTAAGTAGGATTCAATTATGCATTTTGTAGCTGTGTCTTCCAGAACATTATTTTGTTAGGCTGTGTTTTTAGGGTGGAATCGTGGAATGAAATACCAACTGGTATTTTTCTGTTAAGGAACGAGTAAGGATATAGCCGTTCTTTGGATAGAAGTGTGTTTCCTTTATCTGCTTAAAATATGGTTTTTGTGGAGCTTTATAAAACTATAGACAGTTTTCTTTCAGTTCATTAAAAACAATCGCATCATTTAAAATCACCTAAAAAGCCAGGTGGTTTGGCATGCTCCTGCCGTCCCTGCGTTCCGAAGGCCGGGAGGATCGTGGGTTCAAAGCCAGCTTGGGTTATAGCATATGTCACAAAGCCTTATCTCAGAAAACCAAAACTCGGACGGCACAGGCGGCGCACAACTTAAATCCCAGCACTCGGGAGGCAGGGACAGGCAGGTTTCTGTGAGTCTGAGCTGAGGTCAGCATGGTTTACAGGGCAAGTTCCAGGCCAGCTAAGTCTAAGCAGTCAGAACCCGTCAAAACAAACAAACAAAAAAACTAAGGAAAAGAGGATAATCAGGAAACCAGAAATAAATAAACAGAATTAAATAATGTAAACAAAAATCACAACTGAGTTTCCAGGGCTGTATAAAAGAGGAACATATTTCTGTTGGACTCGAATGTAGCTTGTCTAACTGTGCTTTTCTCTGTTTCTTCCCAGTAAGTTACTGAAGTCCACCTCGCAGTTACCGCTTCCCCTGGCCGTGGGCGTGATCGCTTTCGGCTCCACCCACTTGTACAGGGTCCCGAATTTCGTGGTCGTCCCTCTTCTGTACCACGCATTTTGCAACTTCCTGTAAGGCCGGCCTGAGAGGACGATAAAAGCGCTTTAAAGCCTCAAGGACCGGTGATACCGTGAGCGCAGCCCCACCAGCCGGCACAGCGAGGTCCTTCGGAGAAGATGCGTCTATTTTTACAGTATTGGAAATAGGAAATTAGTTTTGTAACGCGTGAGGAAAGTCGCCGAAGCATGGTTTCGTTTCGTGACGTAGCGTCTGTGTTCTCGTCGTGCCTGAGGAATGAGCGAGGGGCACTCGTGTACATACCAACTAGCCATGCCGTGAACCTTCTAGAAACTTAGTAGATGCGGTGTTGTTTGTCGTCTCCTGTGGAACTTCCGCTGGCTCCATCAGACTTTATTTGAAAAGTGGGTTTTCTGTTTGCTATAACTGACATATTCAGAGTAGGTCTTAAAAGGTTAAAAGTCACAGCTGTTTCGCAGAAGTGAGACAGTCGTAAAGGAGGCTTTTGGTCAGTTTTTGGCAACGATGGGGAGCAAAGTTCTATCAGTCTTCTTACATCGATGAAAAAGGGCCTCAAAGGGAGACTTTTTTGTTAGCTGTTAGACGTCAGGTTCAAAGCAGTGACTTTTCTTGAGCCTTTAAATACGAATCTTACTGTGCACTCTTGGTGAACATTAAAAGCAAGAAAGATCTACGGATAGGTCTATTATCAGAAGACTTTTCTGGTGAGTACCACATTGGCACACTCAGTTTCTGCCCCTGCTTAAGTCAGTGCCGATGGTTGCCACAGGTGCCTCTGGTAATGATCAGGTATTAAAACAGCTACATTCCAGAGTTGAAATAACTTGGCATTTGCATCATCTCTGGTGTCCTGGGAAGGAGAGATGTCAACAGAAGTAGAGTATTGCCCTTGATAGGGAAACAGTAGGCAGCCATTGCTCCGTGGTACTGAGAGAGTGAGCCCTGTCTGAGCCGGCTTCCGCCCTGCCGTTGCTCAGTTACCAGTGGAATCTGGCAGGGTTCACTCCCCGGGACTACCGTTTGGCCAGTGAGGGTAACATTTTATTTCATTTCCAGTTCTCGTTCGTTCTCAGCTACAGAAAAACAGAAAGGCAGGGAGCTGAAGAACAGAGTTGCTCTCTGCCTTCTGTTAGGAGAAACTCTGAGGAGGTCGGGATTCACAGAGCCCTTCACCTAGATGTGTGTTCTGTAAATGCCCAAAGCCTCTCCAACGAAGCCCTCGCGTGTGGGTGAAGTCACGGGTGGACTTGTGAGCGCATGCACTTCTTAGTCCCAGGATGGCACTTCGGGAACCAGTCTCGTTTTATCCGCTGTTGCACCGGGTACCACAGCCTCTCAGCCGCCACTGCCAGCCGGAAGGCTCCTCCCACGCCAGTCACTTTGGCAACTGGCCTCATTTTCCCCTGGGAGTTCCTCCTTGAGTCTTTCCCGTTTCAGAATTAGTCAGAGGGTGATGGTATTACCACAGGGGTTCGTTAGTTTATGTGACTCCGTTGCTGTCTTGCCTGGCATCATGCTTGTTAGGTGTTCCTAGTCTCACTTACTAAGACTCCGAAAGGAAAACAGTTATATTAGATGTGGCGGACGTCTTAGTCTCTTGTCGCAGAAAATGTGTCAAACAGAATAAACTACGCCGTACTGTTCATTCAGTATCTGAGAGTGAGCTCATCAGATCATACAGTTTTCTCACGGTATACCACACATACATACATACATACATACATACACGGACATACCTGCTTCAATTTCGCCAGGTCTGGGCAGCCTCTATATCCATGTTCTTTTACACTGTCAGTGACATTACAGACGTCTCAACTTAATGGTAGTTGAGCACTTTGACTTTCTGAATTAGGACATGCATCTACAAAATCTTAACAGAAATCTGGTGTGAGAGACCTTTTTACAGCCTTCGTTATTTGTGAGATCTAGCATCTCCACGGTTAGCCAGCACTACTAAGTAAGATATAGCAAGTTTGAGTCCTTACTCACGAGTGGTACGTTTGTTATCAAAGCACACTTAATTCTTGCTAGAATGGTTTTTGTCTGAAAGTATTTATTCCCAATCCTCCAAGTCTTATTTATGCCAGCAAAATATCCCAGAGAATCGTGGTGTGGGTCTTTGGTCCTTTGTCACTCTACACGGTCACACAGGAACATACAAGGACATGCTCTGACAGAGTCTTCTTCCAGATACACACTCACACATGAACATACAAGGACATGCGTTGACAGAATATTCTTCAAGTACTTAGATACAGGTAGCTAGGTAGACTATCTGATGATGAAGGCTGCTCTCCTGTAAGAAAAGGGATTTCCTTTATCTCAGCATCTCTTGCTTTTACCTATCATGTTTACATGTGTTTTATTACCATAGTCCCAATACCAGTGTCACTTGAATTGGCAGTTAAGTTAGAGAGTAATACATCAAATTTTGAGTTCCACTGTTGTGGTTTCTTTTTTAGGAAATTGAGTTTTTTAGTAAGTGTTGTGCTTATTAAACAACTGGATTTTTGCTAGTAAATAGATTGGGTATACTTTAGACTGTTAAGAACATTGAATGCTCAGTATTTCTGAAACACCCTCATAGAGTTAGTGCTATTATAATTCAGACCTGCTAATTTTTTAAAAAGATTCGTGTGTGTGTGTGTGTATGTATGTGTATATGTATATGTATATACACACATGTGTATGCAGTTGCTCACTGTGGCCAGAAGAGAGCAGTGTATCCCCTAGAGCTGGAGATAGAGGTGGTTGTGAGTTGCTGGACAAAGATGCTAGGAACCAAACTCAAATCCTCCAGAACAGCAGCTCTCTTCACCCAGCTGTTTCTCTAGTTCCAGGACCTGATAAATCTGATAGAAATTATTATTACAGTTGTGTGTGTGTATATATACATGAGCACACCAGGGACTGAGTCCAGTCCTACCTGTGTTTCCTAAGTACTTTCTCTACCTTTGAAGTATCCACAGCTAGTCTGGATTCATTTCATGCCAAAATTAAATACATTCTATTCCTTTCTTGATTATCATGTATTGAAAACTTTCAGAACTGTGATTCTAAAGAAACCGTTTATGCTGGGTTAACACTAATCTTTGAGGCTGCCTAATATGTATCAATCATGTATTGATTAGTCTTTTAAATTATTTTTATATTATAGTTATATAATTTCAACTGTTTATAAAGGATAGTTCAGTTGTTTTCTTGAGACAAGGTTTCTTTGGTAGCCTTGGCTGTCCTGTAGTGGAGGCTAGCCTTGAATTCTCAGAGACCCACCTGCCTCTGCCTCCTGAGGACTGGGATTAAAGGCATGCGCCGCCACTGCCCGGCAAAGGGATAACTTTTCTTGAGTGAACTATAAAATATTCTACAGTGCGGAAAAAGAAATAACTTCAGGAGGTCGGCCTGCTGCACAGTTGCTATTACATTGTCGTGTGTATCGACATGACACATTTCCACAGTGCTCACAAATTTGTACAAGGCAGACTGTCTTATCCACTGTGAAGTCTCTGTTCTTTAAAGAAAACTTTAGAGTTCTCACAGCGTGATGTGTCCGTTTCACCATGCTCCTTAGTACCTCTGGTGGAAGATGGTGGAGGGAAATCAAGGGACGTAGAACTCGGTTTTCAGGAGTTCTTGCATGCTGTAGGAGGAAGGTGGGACACACGCCTGGAGAGATGGCTCAGACCCTGAAGTGCCTGCTGTTGGAACATGAGAACCCAAGAGCAAATTCCCAGAACCCGCAGGAGGAACTGGCTGACCAATGTGTGTCTAGAATCCCAGGTCTGAGTGGCGGAGACAGGTAGATCCTTGCTGCTTGCCGGCCGGCCAGCCTACCCACACTGGCCTGCTTTGAGGTCAGTAAAAAGACCCTGCCTCAAAAATGAAGGTGGAGAGTCATTGAGGAAGGCTCCCAGCATTCTGTGTCGTCCCCTGTGCCCCCCGCCGCACCTCTCTCTGCACATACACAAACATGTACACACATGAACACACAAAACATTTAAGAGGTACCGTGAGATAAGCTAGAGCTGCTGGTTCCGGAATCATGGGATAATCAGGTGGCCTGTATTTCTCTCCCCAGATGTCAGGTCTGAATTCATGCAGGCCTTGTGTTTTTCAGGTCGATCGAGGCAGGATTTTAGGATGTTGCCCTTCGACATTTAGTAAGTGGTCTCTAAAAAAAAAAAAAAATCCTTTGGGAGAATTCCAACAGTAGGCTGAGGCTTTGGGTCACTAGTTGGTTTTCATCCGTGTGGACAGTTTGTGAGTTTGGATATCGTAGAACAGAGTTTGTGAAGTTTATCGAGGTTCACAATCCATTTGGGGAGATTGACACTTGGCAGGAATAAAGGGAGCAACGGAAGGTTCTGTGTTTGCGACATTAGTTCCTCCCAAAACAGGTCAAGAAAATATAGGACTCACTCTAGCCGTGAGGTTGAGAGCTGGAATTTTATCATCGCCAATCCTTTTGAACAAGAAACATTTATGATTCCGTGATTCTCTACTCTTTCAACGTGAGGCTTGCTGAGGCATGGGGACATAAGAAAACCCCGGGGACCTCACGTTCCCAACTTTTCATAGGACTGTGGGAAATGGGAGTCAGAGCAGTTCAAAGATGCACCATACATGCATAAACGTCTTCATTTTTACAACACATTGTGAATAAAGAAAAACAGAATTGTACGTGGTAGTAACATCTGAGGACGGAATAGACTCCGGAGACAGTGGAAACAGGCCTGTTACTCTGTTAGCACGAGGGACGTAACCGCGGCTGGGTCATGGTGTGATTCAGAGCTACCAGGGTCTGAGCCACAGCTTGGTCAAACCGTCTGTGACCAGTCATTATAAACCAAGAATCATTTTCTTTACATGTTTGGCATGGGACGCTGTCCAGACCCACCTGAAGCCCTAGGAGAAACCAGCCCATTTCTGACGACTTTGTGTAAAATTGGTATTTTCTTGTGTCAGAAGTAATCTATAATCCTCCTGTACATGGCCAGTTTGAACGGCAATGAGAAACTCTATCTGTTGCTGTTTGATCCGTTTAGTGTACAGTTATCTATACCCTACTCTTTGTCTCGGAAACCTACGGGGAGCCGTTTTGTGAACTGCACGTACTCTTTCAAATGCTCTTTGGATTTTTAGTGTTCGTAAGGTAGCAATGTTACTCTGGCAAAAGTTTCTAGATCTGTGTATCCCTACTGACAGCTCCAGAGCCTAGTGGCCGGTGTGTTTGTATTTCACGTGGTTTGTGCTGTTTCATTTTGGACTATTTACATCCCTTTATTAGGAAAATAAAGATACATTTGAATTCTTTTCAGCATAATCTGCATTGGAATTTGTGAGTACCTCCGTGGGTAGCAGAACATACTTTGCCACCAAAGCTAAACAAAACTGTAAAATACCTCCGGATATCTGTGCCAAGGAACTTCTCTTAGGATGTTGGGGTTAAAACAAGAGTCATCTTTTCCAGTATTTTTCATCTAGACCTACAATAAATGTGCACACCGTGAAAACGTACGCCACACTGTATTTTTTCTCTGAAGCTGTTCAGAGCTTTAGAACCATGTGCTCGCTTCTGTCTGCTTTCCTGATACTGTTGGGTGGAAACTGAATTCGCTGGGTCGTCTTTCAGCTTCTTTAATTGAAGAAGTCATCCGCTGTGGTCTTACTTTGTGCTGCGAAAAGTGAATTTTGTTCAGTCCATTTTTTTTTTTTTTTTGGTCTATGCGTCCTCTTTATATACCTGAATGCTTGCCCTGCGGGCTCTCTTTTGTTCTCTGTTTCTGTTCAGTCCCAAGTGTTTGTCCACTAGACCCTAACGTAGTCCATTGAAGCAAACCTTTGAGCAGGGCACACCTTGTACCAAGTACTGTGGAAAGCCAGATACCGACATTACTTGGTCTTGGTGGAGTAATGGTTATCTAACTGTGAGGGACTGTAGATAGAAAGGTGGTTTATGATGCGAGCTGGCTACAGGGTGCGTGTGTCGTGTGCCATGGCCTTAGCCTAAGTAGGAGACGCCTGTCCTTAACATAAGCTGGCTCTGTGTGTGGAGAAACACATGTTTGTCAGAATTCTCATGCCAATCTCCCCCTCCCCGATGTGTGGTTGGGAGAGAGATCTTCATTTTTTATTGTGTATAAACTAGGAAGTTGTGTTACATACTTAGATTTTTTCAAAATGGGAACTAAGGTGTATCGTTGTGAAGCCATACTGTGGTTTCTTCAACCTAGGACTAATTGTAAATATAACAACGTGCCCAAGATAAACCAGACCAAAACTGAATATATATATATATATATATCATCACTGTGACCTTGAACTTATTTGGGATAAAACAGACTGTGCCTTAAAAAATGACGAAGCAACGTCCTGCGATTTTTGTATCTCGATATTTCACTGTGGGCGGCCTTCTCAAATTCACCTCAAATCCTTTTCTTTCAAGCGGTTGAAATTATAAATTTTCAGTATAAATTGGCCCACACCTCCTTTAGGGTCCACACAACCGTTATTCTTGAGACCTCCTTTAATTTCCAGAGCTGCTTTTGGTTGTTCTATTTTTTTTTAAAAAAAATTGATTTAGTCTTAATATAGCTGGGAAATTAGATTTGACTGCAGTTTCTGGGGGAGATGCTTTAAGGGAGAGTCACAGCCCTCCTGTTTCTAAACTTACTGAATATATAAAAATTAATCATTGAAATGTATTTTTGTCTTATTGGTAATGATCTTATCAAACATGTGAGTTCCTTCTAAGACTTGTGCCCCGTGTTGTGGCAGATTGAAACTTGTGTTTTTTTTTTTTTCTCAAGGAAGGGGTATCAACCCAGTAATGATTTTGCAGTGGCTGAACTCAGATCAATGTCGTTTTTTTAAAAAACGTTACCATTTCCCTCTCATTTTCTTTTTCCTGCCTAATTATTTTATGGCGTCATGGGAGAATTAGCTCCTCTGTTTTTAATTTAATGTAAAGTCTAGCGTTTATATTGTGTTTATTTAAAACAAGGAGTATGATTTTCATTAAAGTCCAAATTACTCGATTGATCATATAATCACGCTGTTTTTCCAAAGGCGTCCGGATCCCCGTGTACTGTTTGCTTTTCCACGTGACTTTTGGACATAAACTCAGTGTATTTCTCTTGTCCTGTTTCACCTTCACTACTCCTTTACTCTGTTCAAGTTTTTATTTAAATAAGAGTCTCTTAAAAACTTGTAGAAACGACAGTGTGTCTTTCCTTCAAGCCTGGTAAGACTGACAGCGGGGCTGTTTAGACAAGGGTGTGCATAATCAAGGTCTCTCAGCTGACGTCAGTGTTTACCCTTACAGTTAAACCTTTAGAGCGCAGATGACTCGTGGCTGCCGAGGGAGACTCAGTGGGGTTAGCGTTTATTTGCACGCCCATTTTGTGCTCATCCGTAAACTCTAGTGTGTAGTAACAAGGCTTAGTGCAAGAAGCCTGTCCGAAAGTGTGTGCTGAAAACGATGACCGTCGTGCAGATCTCCCCGTCCGAACATGCATGCTCCTCCCCCAGTGCGTCGCGCGGCGTGTAGTGCACCGAACACGTGTGCGTGTTCTCTTCTGTGTGTTTCTGGTACGGTATAATTAACGCTGTTACGTTGAACCAGTTGTGGTTTGGGGGAAAAGTGCTGCTCCTGTGCTTTGTTGAGTTTTGTAAACGTTTTTAACCTCTGTTCCCACGTTACGATGTAGTTTTATTAGGTGAGCATTTACCTTCCGTCTCCGCTCAGGTATTAACGTGTAGCAATCTGGGGTGCTTTGTTTTTAATTTGTCATATTCTGGTGTTCTGAACGTCCCAAAATAAATTTGGTGAGCAAGCACATTTGGTACAAAGATTTCTTACTGCTTTGCATGGTCTAAAATATTGTCCGTGGAAGAAGCGTTAAACAGGCTTCTTTGCAAGTCTGGGCCTTCGTAAGCAGAGTACCTGCTGGGCACAGGATATGGGCTCAACACAGTCAAGTCCCAGGAAAAGCAGACGTTCTGCAACTTGATATCTTATAGGTTTTCACATACGTTTCTATGGCCACTTCATAGGTCACAGGGTCTGTGTGACCTTTCAGAAATTGTATATGTTTCCACCAGAGACAATCTTTTCCCCCTTGCCACTGCCCACTGGATATAATCCTCGGTGCTCAGTTTCTCAGCGTAAGAAGAATGAGAAGGGTTTTAGACATTACACAGATTTATAGATCACTTTACAGTTACGCAGTTGGCTTTTGAGAGTAGAAGCCCGGAGTTCTAGTTAGCAAGTTACCCAGAAGTAATTCTTAAGTTTAGACAATAAACTTAACTTCCGAGGGCATCTAGAAGCAACCAGAGATTTAGAATTCCAAGTTGCCAGACGGCACTAGATAATTTGAGAATTTACCATAAACTCAAACACTGTTATAGAATTGGATAGAAAGAGTCAAATGAGATGGGATATTTCTTGGGGACAGGGGTAGGGACAGGCATATTTCTTGTATTATTAACCAACATCATCAAATATGTAAGTAGACATTCCTTATCTGTCTATACAAGTATTGTGTGTATTATTACACAGACCAGAAAAGGTCTGGTTTTAAGCATGAGAGCCAGAATGTTGAGATTATTCAGTGGGTGAGGTGCCTGACTTACAAGTGTGAAGACTGGGATTTAAACAAAGACACACACACACACAGAGCACCTGTGATGTTAGGCACTGCAGTGCATGTCTGTAACCCCAGTGCTGGCAGGTAGGAGACAGAGATGGGGTCCACAGAGCCTGTTGGCCAGCCAGCCTACCGAATCAGTGAGATCCAAGTTCAGTGAGAGACCCGGGTCTCCAAATATAAGATAGAGACCCAGTGGGGTGGCTCAGTGGGTAGAGAGAGGGGCTAGCTGCCAGGCCTAGAACCTGAGATCCATCCCCCAGAACCCACATGGTACAAGGAGAAAAGCAGGTCCTTCAGGTTATCCACATATATACACGGTAACAAGATCCTTACATGCAATCACACAAGCAGTAAACACACACACACACACACACACACACACACAGAGAGAGAGAGAGAGAGAGAGAGAGAGAGAGAGAGAGAGAGAGAGAGAGAGAGGTCTTACTGTGTAGCCCTAACTGTCCTGGGACTCACTCTGTAGACCAGGCTCACCTAAAAAATCGCAGAGATTTGCCGCCTTCTGCCTTGTTAAGTGGTTAAAGGTGTGACCCACCATGCCCGGCAAGATACTTTTTGAAAATAAATGCGTGAAAAAATAAAAATATTGTGGAGAACAGTTAAAGAAGATACCGGCCATTACCTTCTGGTCTGCACCCCAGTGTAAGTATGCCTGCGTGTATGCAAAACTTGAGGACAGTAGTAATATCAATTCAGTTTTCAAATCTTAATTCTTTTCAGCGGCGAGAGAGGAGATAATCTCTTACTGCTTTCATTCTAGTCCAGCTGAGAGAGAAGTAGATGTGAATATTCTGGGCTTCGTGCAGATATTACTATCGTTTTTAACTTGCAGCTTTGTGGATGGAGTATTTTGAAGGTGCCTCCGATCTACAATGGTTAAGTTAATTCAAACAAAGTATAGTGTATTTAGTAATATGGTCCGTAGATGCCTTCACCATCCCACATACACTACAATGTCGCCTTCATTGCATGCGACTTAAATTCTGAAAGTGAATAAGCGCGTGGACCAGCTACAGGAGTCCCCTGCAAGCCTCTTTACATGGCAGAACTTTCGATCTTCTCCCCGAGTCCACCCTTGTACTGCTCAGCCAACTGTGATACCAAGGAGTGCTTACGGGCATAAATGTCCAGCTATGTATAAACTCATGCTCCTGCCCCCACATCCTACGGAAGTGGTGTTCCCATGTTACAGTCTTCCAGAGCGTGAGTCGACGGCACTGGGGTCTCTTGTCAAATGTCACCACTGTTCTGGAGAAGTCCATTAAAAGAGCTGTGGGTCACTGAGCTATAGGCTCTGGTTTCCTCTGTGCCAGAAGCCAAGCCGCATGGAAACTTGGTCAGGGTCCCCACTTTTGGCCAGCCTCCGAGATGCTGCCTCTCCGCACCCTGCATTCCTGTTGGGGACGTCTGAGGACCAGATGTTTTGGCATCCTCTCTGAGTAGGCCAGCACTGTTGGGACCTCAGCTGTGATCTGCTGGGTAAGGGAGGCAGAAACGAGAATGGCGAGCTGCCTTTTCAAGTTCTTGTGATACCGAAGCTCGTCAAGCCTCCACGAAAGCCGGTGTGTATGATACGTTTGACCTGGAACCTGGCCTGATTTCTGGGGTGTGGAGAGCTCACAAACGCAGCTCAATCTGCGCGGCCGGCAGTAGCCTAGTTTATTTTCCAGACTCCCCGAGGTCCTACATACAAGAGAGGGAATGGAGTTTCTTCCGTCTTGGTGCTGCACGCCACCGCTTTAAGTTAACGTTTCAAAGGAAGGTTAATTCAGTGGGTCTGGGTGACCCTGAAATGCCGCACCTGAAATCCTAGAAGCCAAGAGAAACATCCAGAGTTTAAGGCCACCAGGCTACCCAGGGAGAGACGCTCTTGCAGGGGCGGGGGCAGGGAAGCAGATACTGGAGGAGGAGGGAAAAGAGAAAGGTAAATTAATTTTCATGAGACTGTAATGGAGTAGGGGAGCGCTTTGGTACCAAGTGCTACTACCAGCTGGCCTCCTCCATCAGTGCCTCGGTTTGCAGGAAGAGGAAGGAAATCACAAGAAAGCTAAATAGTGAAAGGGAAGCCATTTTAGCAAAACCTCCTCGACTACTGCGGCGTCTCATCAGATTTTTTGCATAGCCGTTTGAGTTTCTTTTGGGCTAGAATTCCTGCCAAATACATTCAGCTTCTTGTTCGATTTTTAAAAAGGAAAGAAAGGAAGCTAAAAGTGTTGGTGGGGGACCTTGCAAGAAAGGAAGTGGGCACAGAGAAATTAAACAATTTGCACGTAGCAGAGCCCAGACAATGCTACCTTTGATTACCCAAGAAAAACGTCCTCGACTTCAGGCTGGTGGCGTCTAATAAGTTGAATTCACGTTCTCCGCTGAGATCCTTTCTGGCCACACCCATTATTTCTTTTTCCCTGGAAAAGGTGTTTCCAATGTTCTACCCAGAGATCTCCTTCTGCTCTCTCTGTTTTAGAGATAACATCCAAGCCTGGCTTTAGTATAATGTTCCTGGCAGATGACTAACCAGGCCAGAGAGACTTGTTCCCGCAATAAAGGACTGAGTCAGCGTAGTTCATTTAGCTCAAGTCTGTCCTCACCTAAAGACTCCAGCTAGAAATAACTGCTCCCATCCCGGGGTGAGCGTTTAATCTTGCCGTAACGCATCTGGTACAAAGGATGCTCTAGGTAGAAGGTTTTTTTCTTCCAGCCATCTATTGTCCGCTGCTCTGTCCCGTGACGACTCCAGAGACAGGTGCCACATGGCAGCTCAGTTTTCAGTCAGGACAAACGTGGTTCTTGAACCTTCTACCTCACCGCACAGCTTCCGTAAATAGATCGCTCCCAGCGAAGCCCCTCACCCATGCATATGAACTATTTTGTTTGCTTTGTATTTCCCCTCAGTACTGTGCTCTATCTCATTGTGTGTGTGTGTGTGTGTGTGTGTGTGTGTGTGAGAGAGAGAGAGAGAGAGAGAGAGAGAGAGAGAGAGGAGACAGAGAGAGGGGAGAGAGAGAGGAGAGAGAGAGGGAGAAAGAGAGAGAGGAGAGAGGAGAGAGAAGAGAGAGACAGAGGGAGGGGAGAGAGAGACAGAGAGAAGAGAGAGGGAGGGGAGAGAGAGACAGAGAGAAGAGAGAGGGAGGGGAGGAGAGAGGGGGAGAGAGAGACAGAGAAGAGAGAGAGGAGAGAGTGGGAGAGAGAGACAGAGAAGAGAAAGAGAGAGAGAGGGGGAGAGATGGGGGGAGAGAGGGGACGTTAATGGGAACAAAGGGAAAACGTGGCAAGAACAGGTCCTAATGTTCTGTGGAGCGTGAGATAACTGACTGTCTAATTCAAGAGAGAAGAGTGTTTCCAACACAAATGATAGTGTCATGTCATGGGGTCTGCCTGTGTCTGCTGCCAGCTCTCTCTTGGCGTCACCTGCTGCAGCCTCTTACCATGCTAACTCCTCGGGCTGACGGAGCAGTAGATGGAGGCTGTGTGGAGTCCACAGAGAAGTCCCGGTTGATGGCAGCGGGGAGGCTGTCCCTTAGAAAGGAATCTGATGCTGTTGAGGTAGGTTTCCCAGGGACGGCATGTGAGGGACAGGGCTCACCTCAGTCCTCACGTTACCCAGCACCCCACATATGACTTCATGGTGCCTGAAGCCGCAGCACCCCAGCCTTACTTCTTCTCCTGCCTCAGCCTGACTGGAGGAAGCACAAGGAAGCCAGAGGGAGCCACTGTCCAGGACTCACAGGTCTGCTTTTGTGACTGTGTCCCTTCCCTGTAGATTGGAGGCTGCTTCTTTTTTCTGGCCGCCCAGACCCGAAATAACCACCCAGAAACTGTACTAATTAAAACACTGCTTGGCCAATTAAGTGTATTGTTAGCTAGCTCTTATATCTTAAATTAACCCATTTCTATTATTTTATATTTTACCATTAGGCTTGTGGTTTACCAGGAAGGTGCAAGGTCCTGGTGTGTCTGTCTCCTGCAGCAGCTACATGGCCTCTCTTTGGACTCTGCCTACTGTCTCTATGTATCTTTTCCAGCCTGGCTATATTCTGTTAAGCCATTGGCCGAAAGAAGCTTCTTCATCAACCAATGGCAATAAAACATATTTACAACTTACAGAAGGGAATCCCACATCACCTCCCCTTTTCTGTCGAAATAAAAAGGAAGGTTTTAACTTTAACATAGCAAGATTACATATAACCAAACAGGTATCAAGCAAGAATTACAGTTACAATATTTACATCTACTTTATCTTTTATCCATAACTAAGGAAAACTATATCTATTCTTCAACTCCATCAAAGACTCCAGAAGGATATAATATTACTCAAGTAAACAGGAAGTGCATTGTAAGCAACTTCCAAAACTCTAGAATTGACAGAGACATCTCGCTACCTGGACAGTCACCCAAAGTTCTTTTGTAACATTGGGGCATCCATCTTCAGCCTACAGGCCCATATCCAGCAGACTTTTCCATGAAGCAGGAAATCTGAAAGACTGTTTTGCCTCTATTGACAGTTTGTCTGTCATTTTCTTCTGTATCCTGCAGAAAGTGTCTGGCAGACTCTTTCATGAAGCAGGAACCCTGAAGGACCGTCTCACCTTTAGTCAAGTCATTGAACACTGTGGACACGTACTGAAGCATCCCAGAGTGCTTCTTACAAAAGCAGGGATGATTTCTGTGTCAGTTAAAATATCTTAAGTAATGGCCAGGTGGTGGTGGTGCACACCTTTAACCCCAACACTCAGGAGGCAGAGACAGGTGAAGCTCTGAGAGTTTGAGGCCAGCCTGGTCTACACAGCCAGTTTCAGGACAGGCTTCAAAGCTACACAGATATACCCTGTCTCAACTCCCCATATATGTGTGTGTGTATGTATATATGTATATATACATATATAGATAGATATATATAGATAGATATGTATCTTAAATATTTCAAAAAATCTTAATAACAAATCGGAAGTTTCCTCTAGATTACACAGATGTCAAATTTTAAAAACAGCAGCAGGCACTATTAGAAGAAATATAGAATATCCCTAAGGGCATCTAGGCACATATTAACGTAAGATTCAGGTGACATTATCTCTGTGAGAGAGATTTCTTGTGGACTTTCTCAGAAGCAGACTGGATTTTTGAAAGAGAAGTACACGTTGGCCCTTTGTTCTCTTTGGTTTGCACACTCAGGATGCTGTGGATTCATTAGCCCTTGGGAAGGACTGGTTTGGGATTTGGTTGACTCTTTCCCTTAGGACAAAGGCTCGCTGGTTATGTCTCAGCGCTCAAAATCCATGAGCACCACAAAGAGACCCATTTGCGCAATTATTCCCCACTCTAGCCAAAGAAATACCTGTCTGAGCTTGTCCTCATTTTTTTTCCTTCTCTGAAATGACTCTTCATCTTTTAAAATATATACTTGGAAATCTGCGGTTCTATTTTAAAATGCTATCTATCCCCAAATACTTAAATAGCTCTACTAATGGGTTAAAATATATGGCCCATTACAAAATTATGACTCATGAATGAGGTCTCATGTAATTTGGTAGCCTGATATCATCTGTTTTGTATTTTTTTTAAAAAAAAAAAAAAACTTTAAAAAGTACAGGTTTGCCCATGCCTCTACTCCTTGCCTGGTCGCCCCATCTACACTTCCTGCCTGGCTACTGGCCAATCAGCATTTTATTAAAATACTGAGCCTCACACATGGTAAAGGCTCAGTAACATGAGCCAGGTGTGGTGGTTCACAGTGTAGTTACTACACCCAAGAGACTGAAGCAGAGATTGCCTGTTCGAGGCTAACCTGGACTACATAGTGGGATCCTATCTCAGAAGAAAGAAAGAGAGAGGAGGAGGAGGGAGGGAAGGAGAGAGGGAGAGGGAGAGAAGAAAAGAAAAAGACATCTTCTGATTGAACAAAAAATGAACAAAAGTGTCAAAATTTGCTCATAGTCAAGGTCGCAAAGCGGAAACAATTTCAGTTTTTTTGTGTGTATTTGAGACAGCATCTCATATATTCAAGGCTAGTCTCAAATAAAGATGTAGCCTGGGCTGTCCTTAAATGGCTGAACATCCTATTCCTACGTGCCGAGTCCTGAGATGATGGGCATGCACCCCCTCGACAAACCCGGGCAATTACTGTGATTTACAACTCCCGTTACTGGACTTCTGAACAATGAGCTTGTCCTGAGTTCTGTTCAGAATCCTTAGAGCCCCAGCAAATTCATCAACCGTGGAGTCCAGTTTCTCTGCCGTACCATTTCCTCCAGACGGCTCGTATTTGACAAGGGCGTGCGATAGGTACAGTCATTTTTCATCTTCCTGGGAAGGATGTGCTATCTGGTGGCTTCATCTTGAATGGGCTATTATAGCAAACCATGCCACTATTTCTAAGAAGAAGATACCACGTGGAGGTCAAAAAGAGCAATTTTGTCATTTGCAATAGAGTTTCTTGTTTAAAAAAAAAATGCTGTTAATCTGAAAACTGATGTCTCTCAAAGGACATCTTATTCGGTGAGGTAGTCATCGCTGTCCCCAGCCTGAACATGAGAAAAGTGAGAGCTTTTGCTGTGTGGAGGTGGTGCGTGTGTTTTATAAAATTCGTGTAATACGGCCCGTGGTTCATGAGGCAGCTGATGCACTTAAAAGATAAATAGGTCACCCCTGAAGATGCCGAGCCATCTGCTTCTCAAGGGTCTTTGTGCCACGGATGAAGACGGAATCATTATTTTTGAATCGCCTCTGCTCACGTCAGTGACTCCCTCTTCCAGCCTGTCCCCTGGTTATAAGAGCCCGGGAACTGCTGGCAGATCATAGGCAGGGCCAGGTGAAGCCCTCTCCAGCATCCTGGTAAGCTTTATTGCCTCTGTCTGTGCTTCAGCTTCTATGCCCCACCTTGAGACGAAAAACAGTCTCAACTTATACTGCTGTGGGATGTGTCTGTCTGTCTGTCTGTCTGTCTGAGATATGTTTGCTGGGAACATTTCTCAGTTGAGGGTACTTTAAATATTCTTTCTGGTTGTTATTTTCAATTCTTCTTCCTTCTCCTCCTCCTCCTAATTCTCCTCCTCTTCCTCATTTTCTTTCGCCCTCTCTCTGTATCTGTCTTTCTCTCTCCCTTTTTGTAGTACCAGGGATTGAACCCAGGACTTTGTGGATGCTAAACCATCACTGTACCACAGAGGTATATCTGTCCGCAGCCAAAGTACTTTCTATTTCTCTGCCATTTCATGTTCATAAAAGAAAAAAAAATCCGCTGACTTAAGACAAGATGTTTAGACTTAAGATTTATTTTTTAATTTTAAATCTTGTACTGTTTTGGATATCTATCTATCTATCTACTCTGTATGTATGTATGTATGTGTATATATATTATGCAGATTGCATACCCAGGCTTTCTAGGGACAGTCCCATCGCTTTGCTCAGCACATTACAGTGTTTCCATCACTGTGAAGTGTTTTAAGGTAGTCCACTGGATTTCAAGAGTCTCATTTGCAGCTGACCCTAAAAAATGGTAATAAAACTTAGGAGAGCCAATATGCTCTTTCTTTTCCTTTATCTGCATGGATCCTTGTGTTTCTTTCTCTTCCCTCTGACTGTCTTCGTGATCATAGTCCCCCCTGTTTCACACAGCACCATGTCTAAAGCACCCCTCCTGCTGCTCTGGGCTGCCCTGGTACTGAGCAGCCATGCACACGGAGCTGTGCTGAGAAAGGAAGACACGTGGAAGCCGCTGAGCAACCCCAGAAACAGAGAACTGGTAAGAATACACCTGAGGAGCAAGGACTGGGGGATGTAGCCAGCACCTCCCGAGAATCATACGGTGGCAGCCAAGGCTTGAGAAGACTCTCATCAGGACAGGACTAGATGTTGCTCCCCTAGTAGCGGGCACCCTAATGTTTCTCTAGCCGATTTACATTTGTTTCCATATGGAGAAACAAGTGTATATTAGAAGTCGGTTTATACATACACAGCACATCGCATTTGTCAGTGATCTTATCTATACCCCAGGATCAGAGCATTGATTTCTAACGTGCATACAGTATGAAAAGGGGATTGCGTCTTAGCTTGGGGTTGGGAAGCTTGCCTAGCATGCACGAGGAACCTGGGTTTGGTCCCCGGAACAGCAGGAAAAGGGGAGAGCAAGAGAGAATCGCTTTTTGTAAGGCATACATACATGGCATGGAAGACATATATGGTAGAACGATTTGCCCCACGGCGGCATTTCAAAGCTTGTTTGCAGAAACTGGACGTGGACCCTGGGCGGCTATCAGTTTCGAGCATACAGGTATCTAGAAAACAGAATTCAGAAGATCAGAAGAAAATACTCTTTTAAAAGGATGCCCAGCTCGGCAAGCGTGTTGATATGACTATTTCAAATGTAGTTTCAAGCTGCTAGCACAGCCTCTAGCCATACCTTTGCTGAAGGGTATCTGAAAACAGACACAGTAATCCAGGGCTACGTAACTGGGGTCTCCTCAGGTGGAGAAAGTGGGGTTCGGTTTCGTTGCTGACCTTGCTGGTTGGAGAAGGTTCACTATAAATCTCTGCCAGAAGTGTGGCTTCATGGATTCATGCCTTCCCGGGTTGCCACCAAGAATGCTGAATTGCCCTGTGAGGGCTGAAATGCCAGAAAGCGGGCAGAAGCTTCAAGCCTCTCTATACCGTCAACTTCCCGCTTCTCTGGCTAATGCTCAGGGAGGAGGAAGGCGGGGAAACAAACACGGGGCTCTGGGCGTTAGGGTGTTCTGTCTATAAGGCACTGAGCGTTTTCTCTGTCTTTAGTTTTTCAGAAGCCTCCAGGCCTATTTTAAGGGCCGAGGACTCGATCTTGGGAGCCTTCCAAATGCCTTCCCCATGGATGAGGACCCCAGACCTCTCCCTTTCCAGGAGGAGCGTATCGCTTCTGCATTTGCAGACTACGAAGAGCAGAAAAACTCCCTCCCTAGGTCCCACAAGGGCTGAGACCACTTCCTGTGTTTCTGGTGAGCCTTCAAGCCTAACTCTACCCAGCAGGAGGCACACATTTCCCTATCCCATGATTTGCATACCAAATGCTTTCCTGAACAAAGGCAAATCAATAAACTATAGTCACTCTGAGCCCAGGTAATGCTGCCCCTTCTGTCCCAGGGTCTGTCCAGGCGCGCAGTCATGCAGGAGACATTTTGACAGCTTCCATTGTACCCATCACTATTAAACAATGAGATTTGGCTCAGGCATTTCGTAGTCTGTTTTTTAAAAAAATAAATGATAGTAATGTCACTGAAGAGACGCCCATTCAAATCATAGAATTGTCCCTCTTAGGAGGATTTTCAAATTGATGGGTAGCACATAGTCTTACTTCTGCATTTTTTTTCCCCGACCTGGCCACATAGGTAAGTTACATGGAAAATTCCATGTAAAGAAATAGGTTAATGACTTGGACGGCATGGTAAAGATACAAGAACAGCTCTTTGGAGGAAAAGCGTCGTGCATCTCTTTGATCTTGAACTTCCTCACCTAGAAAAACAAATCGCAATATTAGCAAAGCCAGCATTTTTCTTGTAGGAAAACATTTAAAATATATTTTTATAAGATTTGAATTTCATTTTTTGCACTCTTTTCAAACAAATAGGTATGATTTTAGAAGCAGTAGGCATGCTGTATTCAAAATATTATTATTCTAGCTTGCTTAGCTGACCAATGAAGGCAATGGTATCATAATTAAAATCTTTCCCCATTCCTCCAAAAGTACACGGATTTCTTGTGAGTTTGCCATCACTGTTCTTTTCTTTCCATGATTATTTCTCTTAAGTGTAGCAGGGAATGATTGGTAATTCTAAAAAGATGGGATTGAACTTGTGGAACATACACTTGAATGCGGCACTAAAATGAGAAAACAAAACAGGACAAACAATGACATAAAGAGCCTTATAAAGTGATAAGACAAAAATGATAAAGCTGATAATGTTTACAGTTGACATTCCATAAATCCCATCTAAGTTAGCATCCTCTCATTTAATGGTTCCATTTTCAAACTGTCCAGCATTTTATCAGAGACACAAATCCCTCCATTATAACATCCCCCCCCCCATTTTTAATGTGGGAAAAACTCTCTCTTTTAACTAATTCCTCCCCTTTAAGAATTCCAAATTGTCTTATCAATTCCACCAACAATACTGATGAAGATGTGGGGCTTATTGCTGCTGCACAGAACAGTAAAAGTCTGATTGGATTTCAAGGCAGCTGCCTATTTTGGCAGCATCCCAAGATGGGGGTTCAGGGAGAGCCTGCATCACACAGTGGAGAGAGAGAGAGAGAGAGAGAGAGAGAGAGAGAGAGAGAGAGAGAGAGAGAGAGAAAAGCTGGTTATCTGAAAAATGCACAGGGAATTGTTTGGAAAAAGCATGTGTGTTGTGGGGGGCTGAGCTTCATGAAGGCTACAACAGAAAGGTTCCAAACTTGCCCAGAGGCTTGGGGACAAAAGAAGAGACAATTCATATGTGTGGGACATGTGCAGCACCAGCCTGTTCTGGTGGCTTTTTCATGAATTCGTACCCCCAAATGTTGGATGCCAAATGTAGCATGAATAATAAAAACCCAGAGACAGATATTGTTTTTCTTGTCTTGGACTGTAACTCTCTCTTACTTTTTCAGGTGCCACTGTGTTGAAGCTGCAGCAAAGCTTTTCAGTAGAAAAAACTCAACTATGGCTGAAGTCTTGTGTGTGTGTTTTCCCTTCCATGTTAGCCAATTTATAGCAATTTTATTCTACGTTTCCAGATTATACATCGAAACAGCTGGGCTTTTGCAACATATGATACTGACATGCATATTTTAGGACTATTTCCCCTCTGTGATCATAATTATCGAGTGGAAGATGGCATGTATTTGAATGAGTCACAGAAATACAACAAATGAAATAAAATAATTTTCCAAATCAGATATTTTCTTGAAGCCTGATTTAAAACTGTCTTTTTCTATTTATTACCTATTATTAATCAATATTTTTATTTAAACAAGGTGTTTACTTTTTACTACAGTGTATTGTACCTAATAGGGACTCAGACCTGTTTACTATCGTTTATAATATATAACAGAGGTTCAGACTTAGGATTTTTTTTCCTTCTAAAAAAATGATAAGTCCCACTTTTAGCTTGTGCTCTTGAAAGATCTCATCACCTACTGGGTGAGGGTGATGCGTATCCCAGTGAAATAGGAAATAAACAGGATTCTAGTTGCTGCAAGGTCTCTGGGAGATGCTTTCATGCTGCCTTTGAAGCTAAAAACTGCCACATGTCAAATATTCCACCTTGACCCTAACTTTACTTTAAATCTGAGTCACTCAACAAGGGAGAGCAGCAAAAGGTGAATTTCCTGCTCCTCCAACCAAGTCACTTTCCTACTGAGCCATTCGGGGTCCACATTTTCGTTTGATATGGCTACTTTCCTTGTGTTTTTATGAACACTGGCAGTGTTTTCTGTATGATCATTGTCCCTGAACTTACACAGCATTGCTCTGGTATCATTTGTCTGTGTATTTCAAAACGTTCCACTGTAGCTTTTTGAGAACTGTCGATGCTGAATATTGATATGGGATTCTCCTCTGTGTGCTGTGATTACCACTGATTAATAAAGAAACTGCTTTGGACCTACAGCAAGGCAGAACTTAGCTAGGCGGGGAAAACTCAACTGAATGCTGGGAGAAAGAAGGTGGGGTAAAAGGAAACTGTGTAGTCCCGCCAGAGACAGATGCCGGAACTTTACCTGGTAAGCCACAGCCACGTGGTGATACATAGATTATTACACATGGGTTCGCCAATAAGAAGCTAGAGCTAATGGGCCAAGCAGTGATTTAATTAATATGGTTTCTGTATGATTATTTCGGGGCTGAGCAGTTGGGAACAAACAAGCGGGCCTCTTACTACAGAATATGTAGAATAAAGTACTTGTGCACCAACAAGTTCCGAGTCTAGCTCAGTGCGTTCTACTGCGGTTAGTGACTTACGTGCTTGTCTCTGGAGGGTTGTGAGATGTTTGTGAGCAGCAACCGTTATGTGACTCATTCGTTGCTCTCCAGAACCTAGCCCAGTGTCTGCTGGGTAGCAGTTGTTCAGTGAATACTTGTTAAATTCAAGTGTGCCTTGACATCCTTCACACAGTCCTAAATGTAAAGCAGAGGACACTGTAGTTAACAAGATTGTTTTTCCACCATTTAAAAAGATAAGCGATTACTATTGTGTTACTCCTCATTCAAGTATAGCAGCTTTTTCAGGTAAATGGCTGGGTGAGGTGTTCTCCTCGCTTCTGTGGAGTTCCTGAGTGGAACCAGAGGCCATTTTCCCTTCCTCGACACCATTTCTCATCCAGGCGAGGGTCGATTAATTTCAGAGACCTTGAAACTGATGGGCACCCACAGGAGACTCTCTAGGTATGAGCTTGTGAATCGCAGGGCAGAGGTATGTGGTCTTCAGCTTAAAAATTCCTCCCCAGAGTATCTGTGTGTCCCATACTGGATACCCAAGAGGTCCCGAGTTGAAGGGTTTCCTCTGTTGGAAGCGAATGCACTTCAAGTGTTATAGACTGTCAAGAGTCCCATGGTGCATTTCTGTATAGGTCTATGGCAATCTTTCCCCTCTGGGTTTGCTCTTCTTCAGTGAGGATTCCATTTCCAGGATATGGCCCATTATCCCCTGTTCTGGATCTGGCACGGTCAAGAGCTTCTGAGAGTTGAGACTGTTATCCTACAAAATATTATCCTTCTATATTTTCCTCCATCCTGGCAGGCGATGAGGCCCCTGAAATGAGACAATTGGTCCAGTGACTCAGGTGTGGCAGGGAGCCTGACTCATACTCTCACTTGGTTCTGATTTATTGAAGGAGGCGAGTGAACACGGGGCCCAGAGGTATACTAGAAATAGGTGTGTCTCCACCAAAGCTGAAGAGCTCAAAATGTAGGACAATCTCTCATTATGAGTTTGTTATGGGGGAAAAGGTCCAACTTTTGCCTCAAAGGGAAATAGGATCTTTATCACAGTGATTAGAAAAGATATCTAGGCTGGGCATGATTTCACACACCTTTAAACCTTTAAACTCAGGAGGCAGAGGCAGGTGAATCTCTTTGAGTTCAAGGGCAGCCTGGTCTACACAGAGAGTTCCTGGGTAATTGCAGGGAGTATACACATAGTACACACACACACACACACACACACACACACACACACACTCATGCAGAGAGAGAGAGAGAGAGAGAGAGAGAGAGAGAGAGAGAGAGACCCACCCTGTCTGAAAAAGAGAAAAATGTTTGCTCCCTGTCCCAGAATGAGACGTCTACTTTCATGGTGTTTGATCTACAAAGATGAATGCAGGAAGAAAAAAAGATCCACAAACTTTTGCAGAAGAGTGAGATGCCCATGGAAAAATGGTTCTCTCAGAAGCATCACAACTTTTCCTGTGTCCTCCCTAACAAGAGAAAGAACAGAGTTGCCTCTCTGTCTTCTTTAATTCAATTGCCACGGCATAAATTCAATGTTCTGCTTCCTTTAGACCTTTCCATTTTGAGCCTCAAAAATCCGTCTGAAAGACCCAATTGTTTCTTGATATTTTCATTACTGTTATAACAGTTCAGCTCCATCTCTTGGTAATGTGACTGCCTCTGACTCACTCATGGACAAATTACTAAAAGGAAGTAGAAAAATAAAATCGAACTAAATGTGAAGACATTCTGACCTCGAAAACACTTCTATGTCCCGAAGGTGGTCCTGCGCAGAACCTGTCTCTTCCCAGCTCTGTCCACAGCCCCCTTTCTCTTTGCTATGCACCTGCTTTATTGCTGTATCCTTCTCATGTCCCAGTCAGCGTGGTTAGTTACCGGGTGACCACCCCTCTTCACTTTCTGTCTCTTTCCCTTTTGGAGTCAGTCCTGGCCACAGTCCTGACTTCTTAGACACAGTTCCCCAACTTCCTGAAGACTTCAGGGGAGTAATCCTCACAGCAGTTTCTGGGGATTACATTAACACGCTCCATCTGCTCCTGGATGTTTTCATGTCTATGTAGGACACTGAGGATCCTCAAGGACTCCTAACTGAGATCGTTTTCTGTCTTCTGTTAGTCCTGCTCTTGCTGGTCCTGCCCTGGGATTCTGTCATTTTGTTACGGAGCACCTTCACCTGGATTGTCATAAAGATACTCAGAGACAGGTTCCCTGTAGCCTTTCTCTCAAGTCCGGAGTGGGTTGAACTCAACTCCTTTACCCAAAGTTCCAAAGGTTCTTTTAGTTTCGTCCAACTTGATTCACAAATCTGTTTGAGCACATGCTATCAGGTTAGTCAGGTTTATAATGGCATATAGACTAATGTTCTCATGGACAGTAGGTAGTTGTTCCTTTGCGGAACTACAGCACCCGGTATTCCCAGGCGGTCTCCCATCCAAGTACTAACCAGGCCCGACCCTGCTTAGCTTCCGAGCAGCGTTCAGGGTAGGAGGGAGGGAGGGAGGGAGGGAGGGAGGGAGGGAGGGAGGGAGAGAGAGAGAGAGAGAGAGAGAGGACAAAGAAATAGCTGTAAGAGCAAAACAGAGGAGCTCCTATAAGATGAAAATGTCTGCCCCCCCCCGTGCCCGTGTGTGTGTGTGTGTGTGTGTGTGTGTGCGCACATATGTTTATAGGTAGTGTCTCTAGAGTAGGACAAAGAAATACAAGAGAAGATGCAAAACTCAGGAGCTCATAGGAATTGAGACGAATGCCCCCCTCCCCCTCCCCATTTGACCCTCACCTCCACCCCTTCCTCTCTTTGGTGATCCCTCCCCCAAATCTTTCCACCTCAGGTGTTGTCCTTCTCCCTTTCATATCGCATGTGTTTTATGACCCTCCCCACACCTCTCCATTACATCGCCTTTCTTCTCTCATAGGTTTCGAAGGATTATTTTGGGAGCTGTATGTAACAGGCAAATGAGTAGTCACCCTAGGTGAGGGATCTCATTCCCTTTAAAAGTCTGAGTGTTCGGGACAGAAAAGTGATTGACGTTAGAACTAGAAACCCAAGCGAACGCGCAACGCGCTGGCCTGTGCTGCACCCCAGATTAAGTCTCCTTCTGCTGGTAGCTCAAGGAAAAGCCGGCCTTTTCGATCTTCTCTGCCTGCCGGAAGAGGCCTAGGGCCGAGAGCGCCGGCGGAACCCGAGTGCGCGGCCGCGGCGCGAGCCGGGAAGTTTTCTGCGGCGGACGCGTCTTTCCTTAGCGCCCCAGTGGAGCCCGGGTGTTCCCGCTTTCCCGGTCCGCTACCTAGCGTCTACCTCGCCGACATGTCGGGGTTCAGCCCGGAGCTTATCGACTACCTGGAAGGCAAAATCTCCTTCGAAGAGTTTGAAAGGCGGAGAGAAGAGAGAAAAACCCGGGAGAAGAAAGTGAGTCGCTGGTCCCCCGGGGCTCCTCGGTCTGGTTTCCCCGAAGCGGTGGGCGTGCGGAGCACGGGGTGGGCGGGGGACTCGGGCTGGTTCCTCCTCTCCCAGAAATTCCGATTTTCATCCCTCACCCCCGATTTCAGCGCCTCCCAAGACACCCCCCAGCTCACAAGCTGGCCTCGGTGGGCGCCAGGCTCCCGACTTCTTAGTATTGTTCGGTGATAGCTGGAGGAGTCTGGAGCCACGGTGGTCTTGACTGGTCCTAAACCTGGTCTTGCCACTAGGTTGTCACCGTGGACGGGGCACGAATGCGCCACTGTTCTCTAGGAACCGGACCCTTTGTTTTTGTCATACGTACAGTGGTCTTGGGGGCCAAACTTCAAGGCCTCCAGCTTGCTGGACAACCCCCCCCCCCCATTGAGCTACATCCCAGGTGTGCCCGTTTTAGATGAGTCTCGGTAGTGCAGTTTTATCCTGGACATAAAAGAGAACTTAATTGCCTGACAGCAAGAACATCTTTTTACTTTGCTTTTCAAATTTTAGTAAATATCTGAACTTAAAAAATTGTTCTCACTTTTTTGAAGACCAGTCTGTTGACTTTTGAAGTTAGCCCGTGGTTTCTTACTGATTCGTGGCCGCCTAAGCACCCTATGTTTTATTTATTTGTTAGATTAATGAAATTCAAGTATTTTAAACTATCCTGTACATATTTGCAAATGACTTACATAAAGTTAAGACTTAAGTACTTTGAAATACGCTGAAAGTATTCAAATTCAGATTCCACATCCCACAAGTGGAGGTTCAAGTTTTATAAATGCCCAGTCCCAGGCCGGGAGAGTTAAATCCGTGTAAGTTTTTGAACGGTTGAACTAATATTCAATCGCAGAGCGTTCCAGAAAAAGGAAAACCATCACCCCAAGAAAACCCGGAAGTCCCATCATCATCAGGAATCGACTCTGCCAAATCCCAGGACAAAGATGCCAATGAAGGTGGGTGGACTGCGTTTGCGGCCAGCTTTAAATGCTAAGAGCCCTTAGCCAAAATGATGCAGTAAAACCACTTGCTTTCGCTGTAAAAATAGCCTGCCTGTGTTACCTGGTTTATCAGTGTTTGGCACATAGTAGCTGCTTAATATTTATTTTTTAAACAGTTGTATGTCACGATGGATGTTTTGGTATAGTTCCAGTGTTGTGGGGTTTAAAATTGATGCCAGCGTTTGTTCAGGGCCTTTTTATTGTCATTTGCTAAGTTGACCTCAAGTGGGAGAGTTCTTGCGGACTGTAGTGGATCGTGCCACTGTGCAGACTCCCGTGCTTAGATGGCATGTGTCCGTGTGCATGCGTGCCTATGTATGGAGGCCGGAGATGGACATTGAATGTCTCCCTTTAGCCCACTCCAGCATGATTTTTGACATAGGTTTCTCACTGTCTCAGTCATTGCTCTATTGCTGTGAAGAGACACCACGACTACAGCAACTTGTACAAAGGAAATCATTTAATTGGTGCTTGCTGACAGTTTCAGGGTTTAGTCCATTATTGTCATGTCAGCAGGCGTGGTGACAGGTGGGGTGCTGGAGAAGTAGCGAGGAGCTACATCGTGATCCAGAGAGAGAGAGAGAGAGAGAGAGAGAGAGAGAGGGAGGGAGGGAGGGAGGGAGGGAGGGAGAGAGGGAGAGGGAAGGAGAGAGGCTATTGAGACTAATGGGTCCTGGCTTTCAGCTGCTCTTCCCTCCTAGAACCTTCTAATTAAAGTTACTAGAAGCTGTGCGTAGCTTAGAGGATCAGAGGATGGGATTTTCACCTGTTGGCCATTGACTGCAGGGTATTTAAGCCTACATGGTGCTAATAAAGAGGGGCTTTGGTATCAGTGTTTGAAGGTCTGTGTGTCGGTCTGTCTCTGCGTCTGTGTTCTCACCCTCCAGCCCCTTGCCTGAAGCTCATGAACTGAGGTCTGGTGCAGGCCGCGGTGCTTGGCAGGAGGGGCTGGGCCTAGGTGGGCTTTTGAAACTTCAAAGTCTACCGGCCCCCCCATCCTACCTCCCAAAAGGCCACACCCACTTCAACAAAGCCACCCCTCCTAATCCTTGGCACATAGTGCCACTTCCTGGTAACTAGCATTCAAGTCTATGAGCCTGTGGAGGCCATTCTTATTTCAACCCCTGCACTCCTTAAACCTGGAGCTCACCGATTGGCTAGATGAGTTGGCTGGCAAGCTCCCATCCTGTGCTCAGCCTCAGGCCTCTCAGGTTTCAGTTGCAGGCTACTATGCGTGTCACTGGGCTCCCCTAGGTCCTAACTGTGCCTTGTGAGGGATGCTGTCTCCCTTCTCTGCTTGTCCCTGTCACTGTGTGTGCTTTTGCTCTTCCTTTGCTTGCACGTCTGGATGAGGCACAGAGGGGGAACCAGCCTTTCCTGCAGAGTGAAAGACGTGGCTTTGCAATAGCTTTCTTTTCTCTTTAGGGGGCAGGGAGGATGTTCATTTGCCATTACTTTCAGGTTTGTTGTTGCTGAGGTTAAGAACTTGTTCTCCATGAACAGGCAATTTTTTTAAAGTTGTTTTACTGATTTCCTACCCCCATAACTTCAATGTACCATTCCTTAGGAGAAACATCCGATGGAGTGAGTAAGTCAGTTCACAAAGTGTTTGCTTCTATGCTTGGAGAGACTGAAGATGATGAAGAAGAAGAGGAAGAAGAAGAGGAGGAGGAGGAAACTCCTGAGCAACCCACCGCAGGCGATGTGTTTGTGTTGGAGATGGTTCTCAACCGTGAAACCAAAAAAATGATGAAAGTAAGTTGTTAATTATTTAGTTCTTATAAAAATATAAGAAAGTGATATGGTCATTGAGCAGGAAGCTTTCAGTTATACTTGGGAAGTAGTTCAACAGTAAGAACAAAAACTGGGAGGAAACTGCCTGTTACTCATTTCTTTTTAAAATTTAACTTTTATTTCATATATGTGTGTAGTTTCTGCCCACCAGTAGCTCCCAAATAAATACACTGAGGCTTATATTAATTAAAAATGCTCGGTCAGTAGCTCATGCTTATTACTAACTAGCTCTTACAACTTAAATTAACCCATTTCTGTTAATTGTGTTGCTACGTGGCTTGTCGCTTTACCTGTCCTCCATCTGTCTTGCTCCCTGTGTCTCCTGGTGACTCTGTTGACTCCACCCTTTATCCTCCTAGCATTCTTAGCTTAGCTATCCTGCCTATACTTCCTGCCTGGCTACCGGCCAGTCAGTTCTTTGTTAACCAATGAATGTGATATATATGGACAGTATACAGAAGGACTCTTCTACAGCATGTGTGTATTGTATTTACATCAGTTCCCTTGTGCCCCCTCTAAAGTCACAGTCTCTCATTATTCTTGTTACGTGTGTGTTTGTGTATGAGAGAGAGAGAGAGAGAGAATAAATATATTAGTACAACTTGCTGTGTTCATTTAATGTTGCTCTTGTGTCTATGTGTTTAGGGCTGACTGCTCTGGAGTCAGGGTTACTAATCTGATTCTCCCTCCCTTTCTCAGCAGCACTGATTGCTGTAGCTCTTCATCTAGGGCTGGGGCCCTGTGAGATCCCCCCCCCCCCCGCCCCATCGACACTGGCCTGTCAATTGGCACTGTTATTTTTGAGGTTTTACTTAGGTAACCAGACACTGTTTCTCAGCAGACCTCCTGGTTCTCTGGCTTTTAAAACTTCCCACTCCCTGTCTGCAGTGTTCCCCAAGCCTTAGCTGTAGGAGTTGTGCTGTAGACTGCCGTTTTGACCAGCTGTGGCTTTCTGTCACCGTTCCATGTGCTGCAGAAAGAAGCTTTGTTGAGGGTGAGAGCTGTTCTAACCTGTGGATGTAAGGAGGAATATTTAGAACCTGAAGTCGTGCTGGTTTAGGAAAGTAAGCTCTTCTAGATTCCATGGCTCCACCAGTCATGAGGAGCTGCCCAAGTTACAGAACCAGGCATGCATTCCTTCTGGTTGGATGGGATTAGTCCAGTAAGGTGGCTGCTGGTTACCCCAGAATATATAGGTGTCATTATTGCACTTTCCAGAGTATTGTGCTGTTCTGGTCATATGGTTTGTAGGTTGCACACTGAATATGACCGGTTATTGGATATTATGAGAGCTTGTCTCCATCTGTTGGAAGTGTGGTTTGTCTTCAGCAAGAGAGTCTTACCTTCAATTTCTTGTAGGCAATCAAGGGCCAAGGAAAAAGCCTGTATTGTTTTGTAGGGGTGGCATGGGGGTGGGGCCTTTTGTACTTTTCTGACCAAGGACTCAAAAGGACACTTCTATACCTGGCATTGGGGTTTTTGTTAGATAAACTATCACTCTTGAGGGGAGCATTATCACCCTTAGTGGCATAACTTCATTAAATACACACACACACACACACGTTTTAAGTAAACATATCACTGTGAATCGTATGGCTTTTTAAAGCATCTTTTGTGCCACCTACCCCTCTTCCCTGGTAAGTCTTCCTTACCTGCTTTTCCTGTTTCCCTTTCATAGCACCTGCGCCCCGCATTCCCTTCGCTAGGCGTAGTGCCCTTCTCTCCTGCCAGGTAAATTTCACATGTCTGAGTTACTCCACGCTGTAGCACGTCTGTAGACTTGGAGCTGGGATCCGTAAATAAGAGAGAACATGTGGCGTTGGTTTTTCTGGGTCTGGGCTACTGCTCAGCATAATATCTTCTCGTTTCATCCATTTACCTGCACATGACATGATTTCATTTCCTTCCTAGCCGAATAGTGTTCCATAATGCGCATACACTGCATTCTGATTATTAATCCACCTGTTCCAGGCCATTTGCATTATTTCTTACCTGTTGTGAATAGAGCGTCAGGTACCACGGGGAGGGATTACCTGTGGAGTAGGGTCCCTGGGGTATATGCCGAGGCGTGGTCCAGCTGAGTTATATGCTAGATGTGTTTTTAGCTTTCTGAGGAGTCTCCACACTGCTTGTGGAGTGGCTAGTCCAGTTTAGTTCCCACCAACAGTGGCTCCTCCCTGCCCTTGCTCCTCCCCCAACCTTGACATTTGCTGTTTTGTTAACCTGTGATAAAATTTCAAATTGTCTTTATTTGCATTTTTCTAGTAGATAAGGATGATAAACACTTCTTGAGATATTTCTTAGCCACTTTTATTCCTTTTGAGAACAGATTTCAAACTTACTTCTTTTTAATTAAGTCATTTGTTTTCTTGACTTTTTTTGAGTTCTTTATATATCTGGTTCTTAATCCTCTGTCAGATGAGTATTTGACAGTCTCTCCCACTCCATGGGATTCCTTTTCACTGGGTTGATGATTTCCTGTACTACAGCCTTTGAGTTTTATGAGGCCCTTGTTTCCTGTACATAAAGGCCTGGTTTCATGAGGTCCCTGTTTCCTGTATTAAGGCCTTCTGGTTTTATGAGGTCCCACTTGTCAGTTGCTGGTCTTAATTTCTTGAAAAGTGGATCCTGTTTGAGGAAGTCTTTCTCACACCTGCCATGTTTCTTCCGGCAGTCTCAGTTGAGGTCTGTGATCATCTGGAGTTAGTTTTGCCTGGGTGGTAGATTTGGGGTTAATTTTATTGTATGTGTGGACATCCAGTTTTCTCAGCATCTTTGTTATAGTCAGGCAGCTGTAGTTCTGCGTACTCATGTTTGGGTGTTGTGTTTGATCAGTTGGTCTGCATGTCTTCTGTAGACTCATGTTTGGGTGTTGTGTTTGATCAGTTGGTCTGCATGTCTTCTGTAGACTCATGTTTGGGTGTTGTGTTTGATCAGTTGGTCTGCATGTCTTCTGTAGACTCATGTTTGGGTGTCGTGTTTGATCAGTTGGTCTGCATGTCTTCTGTAGACTCATGTTTGGGTGTTGTGTTTGATCAGTTGGTCTGCATGTCTTCTGTAGACTCATGTTTGGGTGTTGTGTTTGATCAGTTGGTCTGGATGTCTTCTGTAGACTCATGTTTGGGTGTTGTGTTTGATCAGTTGGTCTGGATGTCTTCTGTAGACTCATGTTTGGGTGTTGTGTTTGATCAGTTGGTCTGGATGTCTTCTGTAGACTCATGTTTGGGTGTTGTGTTTGATCAGTTGGTCTGCATGTCTTCTGTAGACTCATGTTTGGGTGTTGTGTTTGATCAGTTGGTCTGCATGTCTTCTGTAGACTCATGTTTGGGTGTTGTGTTTGATCAGTTGGTCTGCATGTCTGTCTGTGCCAGTGTCATACTGTTCTGTTGTTATAACTCTATATGTCTTGAAATATAGCAGGGTAATCCCTTCAGCATTGGCTTTTTTTTTCTCAGAATTGCTTTGGCTATCCAGGGCTTTTTGTGTTCCATATAAGGATGTGGTGGTGTTGATATTTCCCCCTATTTCTGTGACAAACCATTAGGATATTTCGATTGGGATAGCATTGAATCTATAAAATTGCCTTTGGTAGAATGGTTATTTTTACAATATTCTGCCAATCCATAAATTGGAGGTCCTTCAATCTTCTAGTGTCTTCCTTAATTTCTTCAGAGGTCAAAGTGTCATTGTAGAGGTCTTTTACTACCTTAGTTAGGTGTATTTCTAGAGATTTTCTTCTTTTTGAGGCTACTGTGAATTGTCATTTATTTCTTATGCTTCATTTTGGAGAAATTTTATGTAAAACTATTGTTCTTATGTCAAATGTTTTGTAGTTTTGCTACTGAAAAACCTATAACTCAGTGGGTTTTTGTTGTTGTTTACCGAGTTTTGTTTCTGATGAATTTCCAAGAAGGACTTTCTAGTAAGTGTTCTGTATGGAATGACACGGATCTAGTAAGTGTTCTCGTATGGAATGACATGGGATCTAGTAAGTGTTCTGTATGGAATGACACAGGATCTAGTAAGTGTTCTCGTACGGAATGACGGGATCTAGTAAGTGTTCTGTATGGAATGACAGGATCTAGTAAGTGTTCTCGTATGGAATGACATGGGATCTAGTAAGTGTTCTGTATGGAATGACACGGATCTAGTAAATGTTCTCGTATGGAATGACGGGATCTAGTAAGTGTTCTGTATGGAATGACAGGATCTAGTAAGTGTTCTGTATGGAATGACACAGGATCTAGTAAGTGTTCTGTATGGAATGACGGGATCTAGTAAGTGTTCTGTATGGAATGACACAGGATCTAGTAAGTGTTCTCGTACGGAATGACGGGATCTAGTAAGTGTTCTGTATGGAATGACAGGATCTAGTAAGTGTTCTCGTATGGAATGACGGGATCTAGTAAGTGTTCTGTATGGAATGACACGGATCTAGTAAGTGTTCTCGTATGGAATGACGGGATCTAGTAAGTGTTCTCGTATGGAATGACAGGATCTAGTAAGTGTTCTCGTATGGAATGACGGGATCTAGTAAGTGTTCTGTACGGAATGACAGGGGATCTAGTAAGTGTTCTGTACGGAATGACAGGGTATCTAGTAAGTGTTCTGTACGGAATGACACAGGATCTAGTAAGTGTTCTGTATGGAATGACGGGATCTAGTAAGTGTTCTCGTATGGAATGACGGGATCTAGTAAGTGTTCTCGTACGGAATGACAGGGTATCTAGTAAGTGTTCTGTACGGAATGACACAGGATCTAGTAAGTGTTCTCGTACGGAATGACAAGGGATCTAGTAAGTGTTCTGTATGGAATGACGGGATCTAGTAAGTGTTCTAGTACAGAATGACAGGGGATCTAGTAAGTGTTCTTGTATGGAATGACACGGAATCCATTTTGTTGCATGATGATACTGTTGTATTGGTCAGCAGCTCAGTAATTCCTGGCCATTTGACAGTTTGTATTTAATTGTACTATGGACTTTCAACTGTAAGAAGGTTTTTGTTTTGTTTCTATTTGGTTTTTATTTACTTGTTTTTGGTATTCCTCTTTGGAGAATATCAAAATAATTTTGAACTTTCCTGCATTTGAATTTTAGCTTGTTTTGTGTAATTAGATATAAAATTAAGGCATTAGAATTATGACTGAGTGCCTTGTTCTGAGTTTAGAAGATTTAGAAGTTTTAGAGGAAGTTCCCATTATGTTTTCTGTGTGGATGTGGATTGAACTCTGAGCTTTATCTTAATCTCCATGTTGTTTTCCTCTGAACAGGAGAAGAGGCCTCGGAGTAAACTTCCCAGAGCCCTGAGAGGTCTCATGGGCGAAGCCAATATTCGCTTTGCTCGAGGAGAACATGAAGAGGCGATATTGATGTGCATGGAAATCATAAGACAAGGTGTTTTCTGCAGGACTTTATTGATAATAGATAATTGATTGACGTTTTTAGCAAGTGGGGATGCATTTGATTGTGCAATTTATGACAATCCACCCAGAAGTGAGGGGCGGCTGTGGTAATCGGAGCCCGCTACTTTTCACACGGAGAGGAGTTACTGGGATTAAAGGCATGCGCCACCACAGCCCAGCTTATTTATTTCATTTTATAACTGTTTATTTTGGAAAACACTTTGACTTTACAGCAGTTGTTGAGATTTTTTTTTCCATGAATAATATTTTAGGAATATAGATTACCCAGCTCATTTGACACCCAAGACTGAGGTGCTGTCCCGTCCTCTGTATGCAGATGCCCTATGTGCAGATCCCCTGTGTGCAGATCCCCTGTGTGCAGGTCCCCTGTGTGCAGATCCCCTGTGTGCAGGTCCCCTGTGTGCAGATCCCCTGTGTGCAGATCCCCTGTGTGCAGATCCCCTGTGTGCAGGTCCCCATGTGCAGGTCCCCGTGTGCAGATCCCCTGTGTGCAGATCCCCGTGTGCAGATCACCTGTGTGCAGATCACCTGTGTGCAGGTCCCCGTGTGCAGGTCCCCCGTGTGCAGGTCCCCCGTGTGCAGGTCCCCCGTGTGTGCAGGTCCCCCTTGTGCAGGTCCCCGTGTGCATTCTTTCTCATGGTAGGAGTTTGCACCAGTGGACGTGCTGATGCTTCCTGGGTAAAACACCCAAGTTTTTAGGCCATATTTGGCCTTGGTAAAAAGAGATTTTCCCAAGGAAGGTGTGGCAGAAAGGAGAGTTTTCTTGAAATTGTATTTTGTTAAAAGAAAATAATGCTTTAAAAATGATGCTGGGTCTGATGGCGCTTGCTCTTAGTTTCCAGAACTAGGGAGCCTGGCAGGGTTCTTAGGTGACCAGCCTGAGCCAGGTAGTGACTGAGGACAGCCTGAGCCAGGTAGTGACTCTGAGGACAGCCTGAGCCAGGTAGTGACTGAGGACACGCTCAGCCTTCGTCTGTATTCGAGGTGGGCTCCTGAATCGTTTTTAGAGCTCTGTTGGAATGATCAGAGCTTAGATAGCGGAAAAAGTCTCCAGTTTGAACGGTAGTGTCCGTACCAGCTTAAGCCTCTTCCGTTAGCCAATGAAATTTGTTTTATTTTTATTCTTTTAGCTCCTTTGGCTTACGAGCCATTCTCTACGCTTGCCATGATATACGAGGACCAAGGTGACATGGAGAAGTCGCTGCAGTTTGAGTTGATTGCTGCACATTTAAACCCCAGTGACACAGAAGAGTGGGTTAGGCTGGCAGAAATGTCTCTGGAACAAGACAATATTAAGCAGGCTATTTTTTGCTATACAAAAGGTAATGCCATTTTTCTTGTGTAGATGGAAAGAAATTATTTTTCTTGTTTTGTTTCATTAGTTGTTATATGCATTTATTCTCTTGTTATATTGTTACTCCAACCGTATTTCTTTCTCTCTCTTTTTTTTTTAATTTAACTTTTTCGAGAACTTTATATATGAGAACTGCATCTGCCTTCCCTCTTCCCTCCAGTTCCCCTCATGCCGCCCTCCAAATTCATGCTCACCTCTCAGAGAGAGAGCATGTGTATACATAAATGTATAAATACATAAATCCTGCTAAGTCCATTTAGCTTTACTTATATGGCCATGTGTTCAGGGCTAACCACTTGGGATAGGAAAATACCTTCCTCCTCCCTCAGCACCCGCTGATCCCCTGTAGATCTTCTAGGGGCGGGGCTGTGTGGAATTTTCCTGAGCCATGTGGGCGTATCAGCTGCTGCCATTATGCTGGTCTTGTTGAGGAAACCGTATTGTTGAGGCTCATGGGTGCATTTTCCATGTCGTGTCTGGGGTACCGTCTCACAGCAGACATCCTGCCCTCTCACCTGTGATTTCCCCTGAGGCTTGGGTGTGCAGGCTGTGCTGCCAGAACTCTTAGTAAGTGAGTTGTTTCTTTCATCTGTTGAACAATGTTCCATGACCAAATGGATTTGTTCCTCATAGTCTGTTACAGCATCTCCCTGGTTCTCATGCTTATTTGTGACTTGCTTTGTATTGCATTGACTATAGCACAGAATTTCAGGATTCCCACTGAGATCAGTGCTGCCTTCAGGCTGTTAGCGTTTATGGCTTGAGTGACCAGATTACTGTAGAAAGCCAAGTCTGGCCTTAGACCAAGCCTGTTCAAGAATTCTTGTGAAGATAGTTTTATTCCAGAATAATTTTATTATTATGTTTATTACATTTTTGAGGTAAGTCACACTTCTTTTGATAAATATGTAACTTTTTTATTCCTCTTCTTTTTTTATAGCTCTTAAATATGAACCTACTAATGTCCGTTACCTGTGGGAGAGATCAAGCCTGTACGAGCAGATGGGTGATCATAAAATGGCCATGGATGGCTATAGGCGTATTTTAAATCTTCTGTCTCCGTCTGATGGAGAACGCTTTATGCAGTTGGCCAGAGATATGGCAAAGTAAGTCTGAAGTGAAATGTATATACATATATGTCTTTATTAGTTGTTTGCAAATCAAGGCTCAGACTCTGGAAAGTGAGGTGTATCTGCACGGGGCTCAGATGCTGAAAAGTGAGGTGTATCTGCACGGGGCTCAGACTCTGGAAAGTGAGGTGTATCTGCACGGGGCTCAGACTCTGGAAAGTGAGGTGTATCTGCACGGGGCTCAGACTCTGGAAAGTGAGGTGTATCTGCACAGGGCTCAGACGCTGGAAAGTGAGGTGTATCTGCACGGGGCTCAGACGCTGGAAAGTGAGGTGTATCTGCACGGGGCTCAGACTCTGGAAAGTGAGGTGTATCTGCACGGGGCTCCTACGCTGGAAAGTGAGGTGTATCTGCACAGGGCTCAGATGCTGGAAAGTGAGGTGTATCTATCTGCACGGGGCTCAGATGCTGGAAAGTGAGGTGTATCTGCACGGAGCGCCTACGCTGGAAAGTGAGGTGTATCTGCACAGGGCTCAGATGCTGGAAAGTGAGGTGTATCTGCACAGGGCTCAGATGCTGGAAAGTGAGGTATATCTGCATGGGGCTCAGACTCTAGAAAGCGAGGTGTTTCTGCATGGGGCTCAGATGCTGGAAAGCGAGGTGTATCTGCAAGGGGATTAGACTCACAGAGTTCTGTGACTTAGTTGAAGTTGTGTTTGCAATTTTTTTTACAGATTTTTTTTTATTGCAATGTGTCAATGAAATCTTCATGGTCTGCACTGTCTCTAATCCTCTTGAGTCAGTACTAGAACAGAATGTCTCGTGTTGACCGTTCCTGTCACAGGCTCGCTCTTTAGAATACTCGTACAGCACGTACTTCTCCCACTCTGTCGTGAAGCAGACAAAGCAGGAGCCATGTGGCTAAGTGACATCTCCTGCTGTCCTTCTGTTTGAAGACCATGGTGTGGCGTTTTATCCTGGGGTTCACTGTCTTGATTTTGGTATTAGGATTATCCCGTTAGCTCTGGGCCGCCCCTCCCTCCTCCAGGACAGTAGACAGACATTTCCACGTTAGTCAGGGAAGCAGCTCTGAACTGATGGCTGATGGTATGTCTGTCGTGAGCACAGAGGGTCTGCCCAGATGACCTGCCGCTAAGTTTGCAGCGGCTGCAGGGCGTGGTCTAGTAGACCCGAGGAGTTCTCAGGTGGCTTGTGATGATCCCCTTGTTTTGGATGTGTATTGTATGTGCAGAGGGACAATGGCCAGTTGATTGATTAGGCTTTGCTGTGGTCCTCAGTTACTCTCCAGAAACATTCATTGACTGTATCTTACATAGGCACTGAACAACTATGAAAAGTTCTCTGCCCTCATACAGTCTATAGCCCTGTGAGGGGAGATAGGCAGTAATCAGATAACAGCCGGATATTACTATGTCACATGATAGGTGAGGACGAAAGCAGGGAGAGGGGATAGGAGTACAGGGTATGGAGTGTGCTGTCATGAACAGTGTGGGGGAAGGACTCGGCTGAGGGAAGAGGCTCCAGCGCGCTGGGGAGTGCGAGGGAGGGCAGTGCCTTAGGGTAAGCATAGCAGTACAGCAGAGAAGTCTCAGGAGTGAGGCAGCCGGCTCTTGTGGGCTCTGGAGGGACTGTGGCTTTTACTCTAAATGAGTTTCGAAGTCACTGAAGGGTCTGAGTAGAAAATGATGATTTGACATAAGTTTTAAGTGCATCAGTTTTGGTTGCTCTTTTGAGCAAAACTTGAAGAGTGGTAAGGGCAGAGACAGGACAACAGACAATTACGGAAATGATGCTTGGGAGGGAAAGTCATAGCTTAATCAGGGCAGAAGCAGCAGAAGGCATAAGAGGTGATGAGATTCTCGATGAAACTTAAGAGTTCAGCTAAAAATACGGGGTGTGTGCGTGGGCTGATGTGTACTGGAGGGAAGGAAGATGGGGATATCGGGTGTGTGTGTGCGTGTGCACAGGCTTGTGTGCGTGGGCTCATGTGTACTGGAGGAAAGGAAGATGGGGATCTAGGGTGTGTGCATGGGCTCATGTGTACTGGAGGGAAGGAAGATGGGGATCTAGAGTGTGTGTGCATGGGCTCATGTGTACTGAAGGGAAGGAAGATGGGGATATCAGGTGTGTGTGTGCGCACAGGCTTGTGTGCGTGGGCTCATGTGTACTGGAGGGAAGGAAGATGGGGATCTAGGGTGTGCGTGATCACGTATACAGGAGGAAAGGAGAAGATGGTAAAGAAAGCTCTGAGGAAGGACTAACTCTGAGTTATTCCAGCATTTAGATATCAGGGAAAAGAGAACTTAGCCAGCAGATGAAAAGACAATACCCAGTGCAGGGAAGAAGGGAAGAAGGTGACATTCCAGACTCACAGAAGAGAGCATGTCAGTGAGGGGTGTGGGTGTCCTTGTGAAATAAGGCGGACAGGTTCCAAGGAGCGAAGACTGGGGTTTGGCGCTCAGGGTTAGCTACCTGGAGATCTTTGGTAGAATGGTAGTGTTTGCACAGCGGGGCCTGCATCAGGTGTTTCTAACTCGTCAGTCTCTAATCCAAAGAACTGAAAGAGTCCAGAGTGGCAAGGAAACTTTATTCAAAAGAAAAAAAAATGTGCAGATCAGAAAGAAACTCTGCAGGCCACATGAGTGAGAAAGTATCTATAATTGCCCAGGTTTTTCCCTTTGGGGTTCAGGAGAAGGAGTTTGGTTGTTTAAAGTGCTTTCTCCCCTAAGTTTTAAGAAACTGAAGTCACTTAATTGTTGAAGGTCCTAAGCAAGAGTTGAGTTTTATAGTCAGAGTTCAGCATTCATTGACTTGCCCCTCACTGTTTTAGGAGTTACTATGAAGCCAACGACAGCACTTCAGCTATAAACATAATTGAAGAAGCTTTCTCAAAACACCAAGGCTTAGTCTCCATGGAGGATGTGAACATAGCAGCTGAGCTGTACATTTCCAACAAGCAGTATGACAAGGCTTTGGAGGTAGGGACGTTCTCGTGCATCTCTTCTGGGTTAAAACCTGCGCTTATGTTGCAGAAATGCTTTGAAATTAGCATCTTGTCATTTTAATTTCTTACTAAAGTATGCATTTAAACTAAGTGGAAATAATAGATTTCTGGATTCCGTGTGAAGTATAAAATGTAATTATATGGTAAGTGCTGTTGCCGCTGTAAAGCCCAAGGTGTCTGCACTCAGTGGTAGCGGGACTCAGCGGAGCGACTCCTGCTGGAGAAAGCAGGTCGGTTTGCTGTCAAACTGATGCATCTTTGGTTGTAGTCGGTGTGATATGATGATGTCAGTGTTCTACAGCTAGGATTTCTCATTTTAAAAAGGTTCTTCTTCTTAATACCATTTTATGTTGTAAGAACTACTTGAAATAAATATTCACAAAAAGGTTTTTTATATATAACTTTTATTTCTCTTTTTTAAAATTTCTTTAGGTAATTACAGATTTTTCTGGAATTATCCTAGAAAAGGAAACTTTGGAAGAAGGCACCTCAGAAGAGAATAAAGGTTGTAGTTAATTTCACGTAGAACATGAGCATAACCCTCTTCTTAGGTGTGGCTCTCCTTGGTTATGTTCTCAGAGCATGTGCACGGCAGGATTCAGTTTTCTTAGATTGGCTTTTATGGAATCTTTTCCCCCCTTTTTGCAATGCTAAGGCTCAGACCCAGAGCCTTGTGCATGAAGGACAAGCATTCTACACTGACATATACTGCTAACCCTTCGTTTGCAGGCAATTTAAAAAATGTTTTGAAGTTTTTTATTTATTAATAGGTTCACTTGAACTTGACACTTCGTCTGTTTGGTTTTTTTTTTTGGCTCTTTTTTGCTTAGGATCTTACTCTGTAGCCTAACATGAAACTTACCATGTAGTCCTGGCTGGCCTCAAACTCATGGCAATCCTCCTGCCTCAGTCTTCAGATGCTGGGAGTTGTGCATCACCATATTCAGCTCCTATTTATCATTAGAAGAAAAAGAGTTTACAGTCATTCTTTATCTTTTTCCTTCCTTCCTTCTCCTTTTTTCCTTTATTTTCTTTTTTCTGTCTTTATATAAGACAGGTTCTTGCTATGTAGCTCTTGCTAGCCTCAAACTCCAGGGGCCAGAATTGTGTCACCATGCTTAGATTAGCCATATTTTTTGGTTTATACTTTCTTTCTTCTAAAATTATATTTTTGGGGCTAAGTATGATGTTGTTTACCCATAACTACAGTCTCACAGTGAAACCATGTTCCTATGACTGGGTAACTCAGACTATTAATTAATGGCAAATTCTGTAAAACAGATAAGATTACTTAATTTGCCAGTAACTTACATTTGAGCCTACTATTAAAGGCACATCATTAATATCATGCAGTTTAGGAAATGGAAGCAAACTGACTTGTAATTTGAAGTAAATATGAAATAAATATAGATTAGAAGTCCTTTAATTTCCTGGAACTTTAAAAGTTGTCTTGCTATAATAAAGTTTTAGAAAGCAGAAAAGTGACCCTTTTTATAACCTCTCTAGAGTAAAGTCTAAAGTGAAGCTTTTGAACTCAAGAATTTAAAAAGAGAGGTTTCATACATCCTGGTCATTTTTTATCTTTTAATCCTCTGCAGTCTGGTAAAAGGTATGGGAATTTTTATGTCTGGGCTAAGTCGATACTAGGAAAAAGGCAGGATGAGTACAGACACAGACAGACTGGAAGAGGTAAGAAGCCGCTGACCGTGCTGTCGAGAGTGAGCACTGACTGGGTCTCCCCTAGAGCTGTGGAAACGGCATCTTGTGTACAGGCTGAAGCTGCCTTAGGTGGCTTTGCATGCGAGCTTGCAGGTAGGAATGAGCGCCTTGTCTGTTGGTCCCCAGCTGCTGAGACCGTCACCTGTTCTATCCCTGAGAGTGTGCCCATAGACATCACGGTGAAGCTGATGGTCTGCCTGGTGCATCTCAACATCCTCGAGCCACTCAACGTAAGTAGCACGGGGGCCACACCCTCCGCAGAAGTACCGTAAGATCCTTCCTGTCGAGCCCACGGTCTCCGGCAGATGACTAGAAATTACAACGAGATCTTAGATTTTCACATTTCTTAGTGACGGGGAGGGCACAGTAAATGTCACATTACTTCCATAGGAAGGACTCATAAAAGCAGAGCGTTTTGGAATTGGACTTGGAATAATTTTCTTTTTTTTTTAATTTTTTGATTTATTTATCTTTATTTCATGTACATTGGTCTGAAGGTGTCAGATCCCCTGGAACTGGATTTTCAGACAATTGTGAGCTGCCATGTGGGTGCTGGGAATTGAACCCAGATCCTCTAGAAGAGCAGTCAGTGCTCTTAACCGCTGAGCCATTTCTCCAGCCCTGGAATAATTTTCTTTTAAAATGAGAACGAGATTAGAAGTTGTGGTTAGCCCCTAGGCAGTCTATATTGCCATATCTGCTCTCTGTTTCTGACTATGGAACAAGTATTTCATTGAATAAAAAATGTATTGGGCATCTGCTTTGTTGACCTGTGGATAAGGTATTGAGTAAAACAAACCTTCCCTTCTCTGGTAGATCATTTGTTTTAAGCGATTAAATACATTCATAAAATATGTAAGTTATCGGGTGGTAAAGTGTTCTGAAGAAAAAGAAATCTACAGAATGGAGGAAGGGGAGAGAGCCGTAGGGATCCCCTGAGAAGGTGCTGTCTGAGTAGGAGCCGAGGGAGTGGCTCTTCAGACTCCCAACAGTTGCAGGGAGCCCGCGGCACAGACTTGATGGGCTATTTAGAGAACACTCCCCAGTGAGCTCACTTCCTGGCCGCTGGCCCTTTAATAGGCCCACGCAGCGATGAGTGAGGAGTCTGGATCTTTTTAACAGAAACAGAGAAATGAGCAGTAAGCTGTTTTTGTTAGTCCTTGCTGCTTTTTTGGCTTATGTCATGTAGCTGATAACGTGGTTATTTACAATGAGTGCTTAACCTCTGGTTTTATTTGGCGTTTAGCCTCTCTTGACAACACTGGTGGAACAGAATCCTGAAGATATGGGTGACCTCTATCTGGATGTGGCTGAAGCTTTTCTGGATGTGGGTGAATACAATTCTGCACTTCCCCTGCTCAGCGCGCTGGTCTGCTCTGAAAGATACAACCTTGCAGTGGTTTGGCTTCGGCATGCAGGTAACGCTTCAGCTGCGGAGGAAGCTGTTTCAGCCTCCATTCCCAACACATTATAACGTAGAATATCCGTGCCTGTAGTTCTGAGTTTGTGTAGCTGGGAGACTGGTTTGTACTGCGGTCGTCTTGCTAGATTACCAAGTGTCAGCACCTTTGAGCCACCGCTCCTGACGTGGGTGACATCAAAGCCACAGTGTTCTCTCTAGAGGACAGTAAATTTGCCTAATGACGTTGACTTTGCGGGAAATCCGAGGGTGATAACATAAGAAAGCTGACGTGCCCCTTAAACACCTGTTCTTCACTTGCCGTAATCACGCATTATAGAACTGTATTATCAGATAGGAACAACACTATTTTTAGTTTTTATAAATGTATGTTTAATGTTATTCGGAGATAAAATAGTTGATGTGCTTTTCCATGCTATTTGAGTCCCCGTACTCAAGATTAACCTATTAATCATTTTATTTTATTGTGATTAAATCCATAGTAGTCCGAAAATAAGTTATTCAGAGTAGAGAAAACCACTTAAGAAAGCAACCAGATCTCCCAGACATACAAAAATAGAAGATAATCTGCTAGGATGTCCTAAGTAAAAAAGATTAAATGCTGGGCCTGGGGGTGCACACCTGGGGAACAAAGGCAGGCGGACTTCTCTGCATTTGAGGCCAGCCTGGTCTACAAGTTGACTCTAGGCCAGCCAGGGCTACATCGTGAGACCCTGTCTCAAACAAACAGACAAGCAAAACAAAACCCCAAAAGAAAAACAAAAAGACATCAACAGAACAGTTTTCATTTAATGTTAGAAAGCTGTAACAGGTATTGAGAGAAGCAAGTCCTCTGTAACTGGAGAAGAAATAGTTGGCCTCTAAGAACACAGCTCACATCACAGGTGGGATCTAGGAAAAATCTCATTATTAAGAGAACATTTTTTCGCCAAGTGATGGTGGTGCATGCCTCTTAGTCCCAGCACTTGGGAGGCAGAGGCAGGCAGATCTCTGTGAGTTTGAGGCCAGCCTGGTCTACAAGAGCTAGTTCCAGGACAGGCTCCAAAGCTACAGAGAAACCTTGTCTCTAAAACCAAAAACAGACAAGCAAAAAAGAGAATATTTTTCTATTTTGAAGAGTAGACATGAATGTGATAATTCCTTTAAACCAAGCCACCTTTGTGGGGTTTGTAAAGGAGCCGTGGTGCACTGGGGCTGCCCCGTGATCAGCAGTAGGCGCTTGGAAATCCTTTCTCATCCTGATTATGTTGATCACTGCTTTTTCCATTTTGAAGCCATGCAGCTTGAAGTTAGTGAATTGTGTCAGTCAGCTGAGTTGCAGTGGGAATTAAAGCTTTGGTCATCTAAACATCAGGGAAGCCCATTGAAGGATTTGATAGCTGTGGTGTCGCGTGAGCTAACTGGGACAACGAGCAGGCGATGCCATCATGCCGGTCCATTCATGCTTCCGTTCTAGTTGGTTCTCGAGAGTTAGCCGGCGCAGTGGCCAGGAGACGTTTGAGGAGGACACTTTGGGGGTCATCTGAGGGGATGTGGTGGAGCTGCTAGAACAGAGAGGACAGGAGAGAAGACAGACTCTCAGAGCAGAGAGGACAGGAGAGAAGACAGGCTCTCAGAGCAGAGAGGACAGAAGACAGACTCTCAGAGCAGAGAGGACAGGAGAGAAGACAGGCTCTCAGAGCAGAGAGGACAGGAGAGAAGACAGGCTCTCAGAGCAGAGAGGACAGGAGAGAAGACAGACTCTCAGAGCAGAGAGGACAGGAGAGAAGACAGGCTCTCAGAGCATGCCTCCGAGTTCAGATGACTGAGCGGGGTGGATGGCGAGGGGTTTCCTGCTGAGGACTCCTGTTGAGTGGAATGGGAAAGTGAGAGGTGGTTGATATTGGGGGTCTCCAAAACTAGGGAACCCAGTAACAGTGTGAGTGAACTGGTTATGTGTAGTAATATGGGCGGCGGGGCTGCATCCCCAGCACCCCGGCAGCCTGGCTAGCTTATGCTCCAAAATAACAACACACAAACTGTATTCATTTAAACACTGCTTGGCCCTTTAGCTCTAGCCCTTACAGGCTAATTCTCACATCCCGATCAACCCATCTCTAATAATCTGTGAGAACCGGTCTTACCGGGAAAGATTCTAGCCTAGTCCATCCTGGGTCGGAGCTTCATGGCGTGTGTCTGCCCAGGAGCGGGGCATGGCGTCTCTCTGAGGCATCTGCTCCCGAGAGGAGAGCTGTGGAGTCTGAGCTCACTTCCTCTTCCTCCCAGTGTTCTGTTTACTCCTCCCACCTATCTTCTAACCAATAAAATGGGCCAAGGCAGTTCCTTTATTAGCCAATGACCTTCCTCCATCAGTTATGGGGGAGTAGAGTGAGGTGAGGATTGGGGAGTCACCTTTCCATGGGCTCGTGATGCCGTGTGAGAGGAGGGAGCTAGCTTACTGTTGCCAGTACCCTGGATTTTATAAAATCCTAATCTAAGATACATCGACAGTTAATGCTGTCAGCAATCACTGTGCCATAACAAGCAAGTCTGTCGATTAAGGCGGCTCTCTGATCTTGAACTCTCGGCATGTTAAGCTGATCTATTGGGAGCTCACCAAGGCCAGCTGGACTGTGACTGAAAAAGCATGGGATAAAACTGGACTCTCTGAGCATGGCGAACAATGAGGGCTGATGAGAACCCAAGGACAATGGCACGAGGTTTTGAACCTACTTAATGTGCTGGCTTTGTGGGAGCCTAGCCAGTTTGGATGTTCACCTTCCTAGAAATGGACGGAGGGGGGAAGACCTAGGACTTACCACAGGGCAGGGAACCCTGACTGCTCTTTGGACTGGAGAGGGAGGGGGAAAGGAGTGGGGGGAGGGGGAGAAGGGTGGGAGGAGGGGGAGGGAAATGGGAGGCTGGGAGGAGGTGGAAACTTGTTTTTTTTTTTTTCTTTTCTCCTTTTCTCAATTAAAAAAAAAAAAGATGTTTCCTGTGGTATGACCAGCGTGTTTGTTACTATATAACATTCAAAATGCCAGTGAGGACATGGGGATTGCTAAAAACAGCACCCAGTGAGGAAAGACTCATCAAGTTGAATCTAGACTCTGACTGCATCCTTGAGGCAGTTTAGTTCTGAGGCCAGGCCTGGCGTCTAGCTCACCCCATAGAGTGCTTGCCTTGTATGCATAAGGCTCTGGCTTTGACCTTTACCACCAGGGAAGAGATCAGTAGAATGGCCAGTTGATCGATCAGTTAACAGAGTAGGAGGGAGGCTATAGTCGGGGTATATCGTTTATAATAAATAAATTATAATAAAGAATAAATTTTTAGACAAGGAAAAATAAGTACGAACAATATATATTCATATTATAGTTTTCTTCTGTTGCTCTAACAGTTCTTTTGTGAATGGGTACTCAAGCTCGGAGGCTGGGGCGAGAAGGTTGCAAATTTGAGATCAGTCTATACTACATAGTGAGACTCTGTCTCAGAAAGTAAAATAAAATAAATTACTAATTAAATTTGAAAAGCAATAGTTTTGTCCAGTTTATAACTTGAGAATTAGACATCTTTATTTTACCATCCTAGAATGTTTGAAGGCCTTGGGCTACATGGAGCGCGCTGCCGAGAGCTACAGCAAAGTGGTTGATCTGGCCCCACTCCACTTGGATGCAAGAATCTCACTTTCCATCCTCCAGCAGCAGCTGGGTCGTCCTGAGAAAGCCCTGGAAGCTCTGGAGCCGATGTATGACCCGGACACGTTAGCCCAGGATGCGAATGCCGCACAGCAGGTCGGTCATGCCTCTGGGCTTTCTGCTCAGTTTGCCCAGCTCAAGAACCTCTGCCTCGGTTTTTACAGCTATTGCTTAGTGTGTTCATTTAGTGGGATTTGTTTTGACATGTGTGTTGTATGTATTAGTAGCATGAGTGTGTGTCTGCTTGGAGGTCAGGCAGATGGCATGTGTGTTGTATGTAGTAGTGTGGATGTGCGTGTTTGGAGGTCAGGCAGATGACGTGTGTTGTATGTAGTAGTGTGGATGTGCGTGTTTGGAGGTCAGAGGCAGATGGCATGTGTGTTGTATGTAGTGTGGATGTGCGTGTTTGGAGGTCAGGCAGATGACGTGTGTTGTATGTAGTAGTGTGGATGTGCGTGTTTGGAGGTCAGAGGCAGATGACGTGTGTTGTATGTAGTAGTGTGGATGTGCGTGTTTGGAGGTCAGGCAGATGGCATGTGTGTTGTATGTAGTAGTGTGGATGTGCGTGTTTGGAGGTCAGGCAGATGGCATGTGTGTTGTATGTAGTAGTGTGGATGTGCGTGTTTGGAGGTCAGGCAGATGGCATGTGTTGTATGTAGTAGTGTGGATGTTGCATGTTGGGAGGTCAGGCAGATGGCATGTGTTGTATGTAGTAGTGTGGATGTTGCATGTTGGAGGTCAGAGGCAGATGTCAGGTATCTTTCCTAGGTCTCCCCACATATGTGTGTGTGTTGACACAGTCTCACTAAACGTGAAGCTCTCATCGCTATGGCTGGTCAGCGAGCCTCTGCCTCTGTGCCCTGTGCTGGGTTCTGGGGTCTCCATTTCCCTAGCCTCCAAACTGAGTGGTTTTGAAAACAGTTTCGCCTTAAGTTTTAGTCATTTTTATTAAGTATAAATTATAGCTCCTAAAGTAATAGGTTTTGATTTTATCATAAAACAAATGTTCGTAGAGTCTAGTTTCTTAAAAAAAAAAAAAAAAAAACAAACCCTTATTTCTTCAAATAAAACCATTTTCGTCAGCTTCATCTCAGCAGTCCTGTCGTGTGCTTGCTTCTCTAGGAACTGAAGCTGCTGCTTCACCGGTCTACGCTGTTATTCTCTCAAGGGAAAATGTACGGTTACCTGGACACCTTACTAACCATGCTGGCCATGCTTCTGAAGGTGGGGAACATTCAGAATGCTCATCTTAAAAACGTTCAAACAGAATGACAGCTCTGTATTAAACAGTTTAAAGGGAAAAGCTGGTGAATACAAGACTTAGAAATTAGTGATATAAGACTAGAAATTCTTTTATAACAGGGATTTACTCCAGAGCCTTGCATGTGTTAGGTAAGTACTCTCCTATTGAGCTATATCCAGCCCCAAGATTGGTAATATAAGCTTGATTGTAGAAAGACTGAAAAAATCTTTAAGTTAACTTATCTTGAAATAAGGGAACTCAAGAATTACCGATTATTAGCCCCCTAGACAGTATAGTATGTATGCATGCATGTATGTATGTATGTATGTACTAACATGGTCATTTTGTGAAAATGTTGTGCATGTTTGCACATCCATTCTGGGTCTTTTGTTGTTGAGACAGGGTTTCCCTGTGGCTTTGGAGCCTGTCCTGGAACTAGCTCTTGTAGACCGGGCTGGTCTCGAACTCACAGAGATCCGCCTGCCTCTGCCTCCCGAGTGCTGGGATTTAAGGTGTGTGAGTCTGTTTTTGCAGGGAAGCGACATGCATTTCCTCTCCCGCTCCTGCTCTGCATGTCATAGTGAACTGACAGTGTCCCCTGATAATGTTTCTGTAGTGACAGAAATTCCTTTGATAAGAAAAATAGATCAATTCATTCTACTTGTAGGCATTTAAAATGTGGAGTCATTTGCTGGCGTGCTTTCAGCCTGGTTTGTGGTACTCGTGGGTCGTCAATCTTACTAAGTTATTGGCTAAGAAGCAGCTCATCATCTTTTATTCAGGTCGCAATGAACAGAGCCCAAGTTTGTTTGATATCCAGTTCCAAATCTGGAGAAAGGCATCTCTACCTTATTAAAGTGTCAAGAGATAAAATATCAGACAACAATGAGCAGGAAACATCAAATTATGATGCAAAAGGTAATTGCTTCATTTGTTTTACATAAAACTTGACTGAATTGAAAAAGACCGAGGTAAAGCCTGATAACCACCTAGAGGAAATGAAAATTGTAATCTCAGTCTGCCAGGAATAACCAACTCATTGTTAGAAGACAACTGCAGATACTTTTAAATATTAAAAGCAAAATATCCACTGGATGCTTCTCTGAAAAACATAAAGTGATACAGTTTTGACCTTTTACGAAGAAAATTATCCTGTGAAGATTAGATGTCCCGTGACTGTGATCACATTGCTTCTGTTGTGTTAAATCCTTTTATGACAAAGGTAGCGATCACAGGAACTCTCTGCAGGTGAATGTCAGCGGCCCTCCAAGTCACGGGACTTTAAAGACATACAGTGCTGGGGTGTTGAGTGCAGTGGTTACGCAGAGAAAGATCGTTAGAGACCGGAGACGGCAGTCTGGGGGTGACTTCATTTTAGCTAACACAGCATTGACTAACTGTTAGGACCAGCACTGGAGTCCAAGAAGATGGAGTCAGGAGCGCTCAGATGCCCACGACCTAGGCTCTAGCTGCCTGTGAGCCCTTCTGTCTCCTCATTTCGTGGATTCTGGGTTTACTCCAGAAGCTTCTTGTGGCATGTAGTTTGGACATGTTTCCCTAAATTATTTTTCTGCATGTAAAACCTAGCTTTTTCCTTCCTCATTTCAGGTCTGCTGGCTTTTCTTAGTTTAGTAACTAATTTCATCTTAGTGGTGATGGCATCTGACTGGATGTCTTTATGTAGCATGCATCTTTGTAGGGCTGGGGTCAACCCGGACCTTGCACATGCTGGGCAGGTTCTACCAAAGGTCCTCTCATCCTGCATGCAGCTCTGCACTCTGTATTTTCACACAGAATTTTCTTAGGTTAGTTTGCTCTCTCTGTAGCTGGTGTGGAGAATGCACACTAGTCCACTGGATAGCAGTCTATACTATATCAGGTTATTTCTTTATATTCTGGTGTACGGATAGTACTGTAAAGTAAGCATCTTCATATATAGATCTGTCCATGTTTTCATTGTTTAACATAGATTACCAGAAGAATAGTTGGTAGCTCAGACAATACAAATCTTTTTGCCTTTCTTTTCCTCTCCCCCTCCATCCGTTTTTCTTTTTCAGTGTTAGGGATTGAACTGAGGGACCAACGCATGCTAGGCAAGCCCTCTGCTACTGAGCTGCGTTCACCAGCCCAAGTCCTTTGTCCCCTCTTCTCCCCTCCCCCACTCTTCTCCTCTTCTTCCCTCTTACTCTCTTTTTTCTTTCTCTGTTTGCCTTCTCTCCTTCCTCCCTGCTCTCCCTCCTTGTAAATTGCTTTGGCTTGTCTTAAACTTGCCATGCAGCTCAGGCTGGCCTTAAACTCTTAGCACCCTCCCACTTCATCATCCCGAGTGCTGAGACTTACAGGTGTGCACTACCGTGTCTGCCTTGCTAGTTTTTAATGTAATTTTTTAAGGAGACTAATATAAATGGACAAATGAAAAAGATGTTAAAGGCAAAGTGAAATTTTAAGGCAGAGAAAATTGAGATTTGAAAAAGACCAAAAAAACCCAAATCTGTACAGTGTGGCAGTCACTTTCCAAAGATCAGAAGGCTGTGTGCACTCTGTGTACTTAGAAGACTGTGGAGCCGGGCGGTGGTGGCGCACGCCTTTAATCCCAGCACTTGGGAGGCAGAGGCAGGCAGATCTCTGTGAGTTCGAGACCAGCCTGGTCTACAAGAGCTAGTTCCAGGATAGGCTCCAAAACCACAGAGAAACCCTGTCTCGAAAAACAAAAAAACAAACAAAAAAACTTAGAAGACCGTGGGCATCCACGGAGAAGATGCTCATTCCCCCAAGTGCATCTGAGCTGAGACCAGCAACGGCATGTGGGGTTAGTGACTGCAGTCATGAGAGTTGACTGCCATGCTAGGTTGTTGGTCATTCAGAACTGAGGGACGCAGGACTGAAGGAGTCGACACAAGCAGCCACTCTTCTTGTCTTTGTCGGGTATCAGCAGGTTAGGACTCAGGACTGCTGTTTCTGCAGCTGACATGTCCTGATTGGTTTCCCTTGTCTCGTTCTAGCAATATTTGCTGTGCTCACGAGCGTCTTGCCCAAAGATGACTGGTGGAACCTTCTCTTGAAGGCCATCTACACCTTGAGTGACTTAGCCCGGTTCCAGGAAGCCGAACTGCTCGTGGACTCCTCACTGGAGTACTACTCATTCTATGATGACAGGCAGAAGCGCAAGGAGCTGGAGTACTTTGGTCTGTCTGCTGCTATTCTGGACAAAAATTTCAGAAAGGCGTATGACTATATCAGGTGACTTTCCAGTCTTAAATCATATTTCAGAAATACTCATGTGTATGTGTGTGTGCCTGAGTGTATGTCTGTGCACCACTGTGCAGGAGCTCACGGAGCTCAGAAGAGGGCACCAGATCCCCTGGAACTGGAGTTACACATGGCTGGCAGCCAGCAGGTGGGTGCTGGGAACTTGATTCTCTGCCAAAGCTGATGGTGCGCTTAACCACTGAGCCATCTCCACCCCTCAGTCGTATTTTAAGTCTGTTTTCCGACACCACCTGTGTACTTACTTAACTTAGGCTCCTACATCAGAAATTAATAAGCTGTTTTGTTCCCGATGCTCCTGTGGCCCGTGGCTCAGTTCACTGCTGATTCTTAGGTGAACTTTACAGCTGGAGTTCTCAGGTTCGGGGCCCCCTGACATTTCCTGGTTTGTGACATCAGGCTAGTGGTTTAACCTCTCCTTCCAGGATCCCATTTATAAAAGGGCATCCTACTGTCGTTAGGGTTAAATGGCTTATCGTATCTAAAGCCTTTCACAGTGCCTGGAGCGCTGTGTTTATCAGTCACTGCTTACGGTTCTCTAGCGACAGGAAGCTGGAAGGCAGGTACAGCAAGCTGCTAGACGTTTTACATTAAGAGATGTTTTTCAACATCAAAAACAAGATAAATGCTACCTTAAGCAGTATTTTCTAGGGAACAAGATCTCTCATCATATAAGAAGCTTTGCTTTTCCTTACTGGTGGACAGCAGTAAGGGTTTTTATTAAACTTGCTGATTTCTACATTCTTTCCCTCTCGTTTCCATCCTGCTGTTGCAGGGTGATGGTGATGGAAAATGTCAACAAACCCCAGCTATGGAATATCTTCAATCAAGTCACCATGCACTCCCAAGACGTAAGACATCATCGCTTCTGCCTCCGTCTGATGCTGAAAAACCCAGAAAATCATGCTCTGTGCGTTCTAAATGGACACAACGCATTTGTATCTGGGAGCTTCAAACACGCACTTGGTAAGTGTGCTGACACCTGATTGTCGGCATGGGGTCAAGGGCCAGGCTTTCAAATCAAATAGCCTCTTTCCCATGCAGAGCAGTCCTTAAACACACCTAAGAACCTATCGTAGAGATAATTTTGGACATTCAGTGAGTTAATATAAAAAGAAATCTTTAAAACAAAGTCTGCTATGTAAGAGTGCTTCTAAGTACAAATAATAATCGTGAGAAAGTTTTGTTATTTTTCTTTAGAGGTCAGGTAGGTCTAAGGTCAGCAGGTATTCCTGCTTAGGGTTAGAAGTCATCACCTGGCAACCGTGTGCACACATGCACATGCCCACATGAACACCGTCACACACCACACACATTCTCCCTTTACTTTGAAAACAGATTTAAGGTCATAGATTATCATACTGCTAAATTATTTTAGAAGTATTATTCTATGTAGAAATGTCTATCTTGGCTCAAGTTACTCTATCATCAAGATATACTTACGAGGGTACTTCTAATAGTGGTGTACATTGCTGTCAGGTTTAAGCTGATGATAGGATCTGCATACATTTAAAAACATGTGAGCGATGAGGAAGCGGGAGCTCTGTTGTCACCATGTCATGGTCTGGCCTCACTCTCTCTCCAGGGCAGTATGTGCAAGCCTTCCGTGCCTATCCCAGCGAGCCTCTGTACAACCTCTGCATCGGCCTCACCTTCATTCACATGGCGTCTCAGAAGTATGTGCTCAAGAGACACGCTCTGACTGTGCAGGTAACTCAGTAGACTCCCGCACGTGAGTGCATGTGTGTAATGCCTTTCGGAAAACCTATTTCAAAAGTAATGCCTGCTTGATAAAAGTGTTGGGAACGCTCAGCACTGATTCCTGTGCCCCAGATTCATGGGACTCAGCATAATGTCACACTGAAGATGAACGCTGATTTCCAGCAGGTAGTGAGCATGTGCAGTAAGATCGCTGCAGCTGTAGGAGAATCTGCAGGATTTAGCAGGGTAGTGACCATGTGCAGTAAGATCACAGTGGCTATAGGTAGAATCTACAGGATTTTGAATTGGGTCCTTTTATGCTCTCTGGAGGCTCCTGTCTGAGGTCCTAAGGACTCATTTGATTAGTTTTGTGTGCCTGCTCACATCTGTGCAGGTGAAGCCACACGTGTGTGTGTGTGTGTGTGTGTGTGTGTGTGTGTGTGTGTGTGTGTAGAAGCCAGCGGTTAAATTGGAGATCTTACAGTCTTTCACCTTGCTCTTCCACAATGTTCCCTGAGCCTTGGTAGTTTTTTGTAGATGTTTTCACTGGGACTGGGCTCCACTCTGCATTTTAATTGGTGGAGGTTTTTCCTAGTGGTCTCTGTCTGTTGCAAAGAAAATGCTCCTTGACGAAGCGGGAAGACGACTCATCTGGTTAGGAATCGTGCTGGCTTACTAAAGGAGTGGTTGTAGATCCTCCTCTAATAGCCATGAGTAGCTGGCTAGGTTTCCAGTACCAGGCATGGCTTTCCTCTTGTCAGGCGGATCTTAAGTACAGGTAGAGAGCGGGGAGTGACGACCGAGGTGTGCCCCTTCAGGGTTCTCAAGCCTTGGTGGACATAGATATGATTCCTAGTATCATAGCTGTAGGAATGGTGGTTGCCTCCCTCCTTTGGAAGCTTGCATGGTGCCTTCTGGTGCCATGAAACCCAGTCCTCAGGGAGGGGACAGTGGTCTTCCAGCTCAGGGTGTCAAGGCCTGTTTCTCAAGTACATGGTGTCTTTACCAATAGGGACTGTCCTTCCATTTTGGGGTCAACTGCGGGCAGCAGCAATAGGCTGTATGCTTTGGGAGTCTCCTGAGTAGTCTGGGCCGACAGCTCAAAGGAGGACTTCTTATCTGGTATCGGGGTTTTTAGTCTCTGGCCCTTTGAAGGCAGACCAGATAAATCCATTAAAATCATAGAGAGAGAGAATTACATGCATTACAGTTGTTTTAAAAGGCAGATAGTGTGTTTTCTTGTGGCTCTTTCACTGGTGCTTGTTGGTCCTCTTCCCTCCTGTATCGCCCTGGTCAGATCGCCGGTGCCTGCCGTTCATCCCTCCTCTCTTCTCACCACCGTCCCCTCATCTAGCAGTGGTCTCACTTTATTTTCCCAATTTCTTTTTTTTTTTTTTTTTTTTTTTTTTGGTTTTTTCGAGACAAGGTTTCTCTGTGGTTTTGGAGCCTGTCCTGGAACTAGCTCTGTAGACCAGGCTGGTCTCGAACTCACAGAGATCCGCCTGCCTCTCCCAATTTCTGTAGTTGCTCCAGGCCCTGTGCTCATTTCTGAGGGTGTGGAGTTAGGAGCTTGTCTTTGGGTCTGGGTTACCTCACTAAGATCTTTTCTGGGTCCACACACTGACCTGCAGAGGTCCTGGTTCCATTTTCCTTACAGCCGAGTAGCATTCTATCGTGTGTGTGTCATTTCTTCCTCATTTGTCGTTGTAGGGCGTTTAGGTTGTGCCCATCCCCAGCTTTTCTGAGCAGCAGTCATCTGTGGAGCAGTAGCTAGAGCGCATGGGAGGTTTTATTTTTAGCTTGAGAATTCTACACACTGATTTCCATAGTGGATGCGCAAGTTTCCAGTCCTCCAGTAGTGAATGGAGGGTCTCTTTTTTCTTGCATCCTCTCATTTTTTTGTGATGGGTTATCTCTTGGCCATTCTTCTTTTCTTTTGAGAACTCTCTGTTCAGGTCCTAGACTCAGGTTTTGAATGGGTGGTGTGTGTCTTTTGACTTTCTTTTTTTAATATTCTAGTTGTTAATCTTCCGTCAGATGTACAGCTATGCAGAGGCTTTTCAGTTTTATGAGGTCCCCCTTGTCTGTAGCATGGTTCCCTGCGTCAATGGCACATTGGTGGTGTATAACTAGACTCTGACATGCGCGGACTTCTTCAGTGTGCCGCCCTTGTGTGGGCAGCGATCCAAGGTGAACACGCTCAACCGTCCTTTTCTTTTCGGTAGGGCTTCTCCTTCCTTAATCGATACCTCAGCATACGTGGGCCTTGCCAGGAATCCTTTTACAATTTGGGCCGTGGCCTCCATCAGCTGGGACTGACTCACCTTGCAATCCACTATTACCAGAAGGCTCTGGCACTCCCTCCGCTCGTGGTAGAGGTAACGTGCACATGGCTTCCACACTCTGCTCTGTAATCTGAAGGTCTAGACATAGTGTATATAGTATAATTTATGTTTGGGGTCAGGTGTAGTGATACATATCAACAATCTCATGGGAAACCAAGCAAGATCTCAAGCCAAAGGCCATCTCAGGCCACAGAAATATCTTATTATTTTCTGTAATGTATTTATATTTAGGCTTAGCAGCAGGAAGCTGTGGCATCCTGGCCTTGTGGTCTGATCAACAACCGTCTGACCCTGTGCACATGCGGTTGTGACCCTGTGCACCCTTTTCAGTTATGCAGAGGTAGTTCCTGTGTCTTCCAGTAGGAGCTGCCAGTTGTGAATCCCGAGTATCAGTGTATACTGTTCAATTCTGAGTTCCACAACAACCCGTTTCAGGAGAACAACCAAACAGCCCTTTTTTGTATGTGGGGGTTCATGTGATTGCAAGCGCATGTATACCAAAGCATGTGTGTGGAGTCCCGAGACCAGCCTCGCGTTGGGCCTTGCCATCTGTCTGTTGTGAGCCCTTGTGCACTGCAGAGGCGAGTTCTGGAGGTCTGACCTTGGGCTGCCACGCTTGCCCAGCCTCCTCACACAGACAGAGGCCACTGTCAACATAGTTTTTAAAGTTTGACACTTTAATTCCTCACACACTGTGAGCAGCAGCGTTTATTTTGGCCTCCATCAGTGAAAGTGAACTTTGAATACAGCAAGGGAACTGCCCAAGTTTTCAGACCCCTGCTAGGAACTCTTGACAAGCTCTCAGTGGGGCTCCCGACCGCTTGTGGTGCCATTTACTGACTCAGAATTTGTCTGTTCTACTGCGACTGGAAGGCTTTTCAGTTGCTTAGACATTTGACAAAACTGTGACTATACTCCTGAATCAGTGTAGGTCTGCAGGTCCAAGGTATTTTGTTTTTAGTATTATATGATTTTTAAGTCATTTTGGAAAATTACAGAAGCTTGTCATAATACTGTCATGGTTGACAGTTGGAAATAAAATACTCATTGTCTTTTCTCCTAGGGCATAGAAGCTGACCAGTTAGACCTTCGGAGAGACATTGCCTACAACATGTCTCTCATTTATCAGAGCAGCGGGAACACGGCCATGGCTCAGAGGCTTCTGTACACCTACTGTGTCATATAAGCCGCGGACCGAGAGAGGTGCGGGGACCGTGTCTTCTAGTGAGACTTTCCAGATGGTGCCGTCCCACTGCCAGCTGTCCTCACAGCCATAGCGTTGAGGCTGGAGTGGGGCTCAGCTGTACAGTGCCTGATTACTGTACGCACGAGGCCCCAGATTCGAGCCACAAGCCTTTAGAAACCAAAACACTGCTCTCATCTCTGGAATATTTGCAGTGTTACCATTCCCATGAGGGTGTGCAGAGTACTCTGTTACCTCCCTTCAGCGTTCTACAGAAAATTATTCCCAGTGCTGAAACGGACAGAGTCTCTGAGACAGTTGGAACCGAACGTTATTTTTCCATTTAGTGTCTGCTAAGCTCCTGTGTGGGAGACAGATGTTGTCCTCGAGGCATTGCAGAGTCCACTGCTGAGAATCAGCATGAGTAGAGCTGTTTTATCTACTTATTTTCTTGTGCAGTCTATCGGACCCAGGTCTGGTACCATGCTAAGCAAGCAAGTGCTCTACCACCGAGCTACATCCTCAGCCTGACAGTTCAAGTGTGAACATACAGTCTCTGCAGGGAATAGTTCCTGCATTTCTGGACAGTGTCATTGCTGTCCACATACACAGTAAAGGAGGGAGCTTACTAAAGGAGAAGCAGATTTGGATTCTTACGGTGATGTAATTACTCACAGCCAACACCTAACACAACTAATTAAGATGTTGTTATGGTAGGAAGACAATGAGTCGCTTCATTTCACATTCATTTGTGAGTATGTTAGTTTTAGAGTGTGAGCCTTGGGCCTGCGCTTAATTCGAAGCCCAGCACTCCAAGGAAAAACAGTCAGTGCATCTGGCTTCCCAGTGGAGAGAAGCGGTCATCTTATCACGTTCACACAGTAACATGTGCATCCCAGACAACTACAGACTGCAGAAGCTGGACATTTGAAGTAAAGAGTTGATAAAGTTTCAAGATATTTTATGTCATTGCATGTTGTTGAATCTCAGATCAAAACATTTGCTAGATATACTGTTTCAATAAAAAGAGCTTTTGTGGAAATGCTGTAATGTATGATTGATTCTAGAACTAGTCCAGTGTTGAGATTGAAGGTTAAAATACAACGGAGACTTTTTTAGGAGTTCTTACCCCTCTTTATACTGCATATTCAACTTTCTGAGAAGCAGAATTTGTATATAATTAGGAAATGCATCTTGTATTCTGTATATATCTATATATAAATAAATCCTTTTTAAAATTTTGTTTGTGCGTGTGTTCGCTGGTGTTTTGCCTGCAGGAGTGTCTGTGTGAGGGTGTCAGGTCCTCGAGAACTGGAGTTAGACAGGTGTGAGCTGCCATGCGGGTGCTGGGAATTGAACCTGGGACCACTGGAAGAACAGACAATGCTCTTAACTGTGGAGCCGTCTCTCCAGCCCCATACATTCTATTCTAACAATTGAGATTTTACCTTCTAAAAAATTTCATTTCATGCCATTGAGTAGTAATGATAAGGCTAACTATTGATGACTGATAAATTTAGGTCTCGGAATCCTACTGTGCATTCTGTATGTAGTCTCTATGAACCACCACGTACAGAGTTCTCTGAACAGCAGACTGGAGGACAGAGATTGGGGTTCTGTGTCGGAAGTTACTTCAGTCAGCATCTAACAGAATTATACATATTGGGTAAGCTGGGGCTGGATCTCCGCGGATGGCGTGCCTACCTCGTGTGCACGGAGTTCAGAACCAGGTGTGGTGGGTACCATCTGCAATTCTGGCCCTCAGAGGCAGAGGAGCAGTCCAGGGTCGTGCTTGGCGGCAACACGGTAAGTTCAAAGGCAGCTGGGCTCCGTGAGACGCTTGTCCTAAAGGAAATAAAGCAATTGTTGGTTGGAACACAAGCAACTGGCGTAACCTTTTACTTTTCACTTCTGTTTCTCGAGCTACACAGACTAAATGCCTGGTTTCTCAAATCCGCTAAACAGTATTGGCGGGACAAGGAACAAGTTTCCAAGAAAAAATTCTGTGTTGTGTGTTTATTTAACACTTATAGTCCCTACTAGTCCCCACAAGCAAAGCCCTCAAGCCGGGTGATGGTGTCCCTCCTACGGTGTTCAGGGATGAGAATAGGAGCTTGTGGGACAGAGAGCAACCAGAGAGACCCTGCCCCAACAATGTGGACAGTGAGAACTAATTCCCAAAAGTTGTCGTCTGACCTACCCGTGTGCCCTCAAACACACACACACACACTGAATGCTACCATCCTACTGTCTGCTAAGCATCCTTGAGATGCATGGCTTCTGATTTTGTGGAAGGCGGACGTTATTAGTTATCTTTCCTGTTCCAAAGAGGTTAACATCCTGGCCAAGATTTAGCAGTCCATGCCCAGAGTGATTCCTTCAGAGGAAAATCTGTTCCCGTTTAGAGCAGCAACACTTGTAAGAGTTTGCCCTCTGCTATTTTCCTTTCTCCCTCTCTGCACTCCCCATGCCAGCTCTGCCTGCTTCCTTGCAATATATTCGCTTCAAGGATTCTTTCTGCTGCCTGGAGTACTGCTCCCCGCTGCGCCAAAGAGTGTTGTCCTTTTCCTTCCTTGGGAATGTGGGAGTTGAACGCTAGCCCTCCTGCATGCTGAAACTGCAGCGCTATGTGGCCGGCCAGCCCTTCGCTAGTTTTATTGAGAAAGAAGAGAAATTTGCACTGTCAAGAGAACTTAAGAAATGGGACTAACCCCTAAGTTACTGTGGATGGTAGTTTTTTTTTTTTTTTTTTTTTTTTTTGGTTCTTTCGTAGGCTAGCCACCGTTCTCCTGAGTTTATTCTGGTGATGTTGGGTTTAGGGCTATCTTAGAGTTTTTATTGCTGTGAAGAGACACCACATCCACCGCAACTCTTCTTATAAGGAAAACATTTAATTGGGGCGGCTTAGTTTCAGAGGTTCAGTCCATTATCATGGTGGGGAGCATGATGGCAAACAGATGTGCTGGCTACATGCAGGTCACAGGAAGTCAGCTGGAGACACTTGGTATCCTGAGCATAGGAAACCTCAAAGCCCTCCCCCACAGTGACACACTTCCTCCAACAAGGCCATACCCACTCAAACAAAGCCACACACAATAGTGCCAGCCCCTATGAGTTTGTGGAGGCCAGGAACATTCAGAGCAACACAGTGGCTTCCACATTAATGCTGTCTGTAACTTGATTTTTTTTCCCTGTGGATTGTACCAAAATGTAAATGAATGCCACCTTCCCATTTAGCACTTGTTATATTTTCACAGCGAGGCTACACCACTTGATGGTGTCAGTTCAGCGCTGTGTATGGAGAAGACAAAAAGGTAGAAGAAATGAATAAATCTCTCAAAGATACCCAAGAAAACCAAGATAAAGCAATCAAACAGGTAATGGAAACAGTTCAAGACTTGAAAAATGAAATGGAGGTAAGGAAGAAAACACAAACCGAGGGAAGGCTGGATATGGAAAATCTGGGTAATCAAGCAGGAACTACAGAGACAAGCATAAGAAAGAAAGAATCTCAGACACCGAAAATACTATAGAGGAAATAAACTCATTGATTAAAGAAAATAACAAATCCAACAAATTCTTAACACAAAACATCCAGGAAATCTGGGACACTGTGAAAAGACCAAACCTAAGAATAAAAGGGGTAGAAGAATTACAACTCAAAGGCCCAGAAAATATATTCAACAAAATTATAGAAGAAAACTTTCCCAACCTAATGAAGGATATTCCTATGAAGGTACAAGAAGCATACAGAACACCAAATAGACTGGATCAAAAAAGCATCCCCTTGCCATATAATAATCAAAACACAAAACATAGAGAATAAAGAAGAATATTAAGAGCTACAAGGGAAAAAGGTCAAGTAACACATAAAGGGAAACCTATCAGAATTACACCTGACTTCTCAATGGAAACCATGAAAGCCAGAAGGTCTTGGATAGATGTGCTACAGACACTAAGAGACCATGGATGCAAGCCCAGACTACTATATCCAGCAAAGCTTGCATTCACCATTGATGGAGAAAACAAGATATTCCAGGACAAAAACAGATTTAAACAATACATAGCCACAAACCCAGCCTTACAGAAAATACTAGAAGGAAAGCCACGAACCAAAGAAGCAAACAACACCCATAATAACACAAGCATCTAACAACCCCCTCCACCAGCACAACTCAAAGAAGGGAAACACACAAACACTACCACCAAAAAATAACCGGAGTTAGCAACCACTGGTCATTAATATCACTTAATATCAATGGACTCAACTTACCTATAAAAAGGCACAGGTTAAGAGAATGGATACAAAAACAGGATCCAGCATTCTGCTGTTTACAAGAAACACACCTCAACCTCAAAGACAGACACTACCTCAGAGTAAAGGGTTGGGAAAAGGTTTTCCAATCAAATGGCCCAAAGAAACAAGCGGGTGTGGCTACACTAATATCTAACAAAATTGACTTCAAACTAATATCAATCAGAAGAGATGGAGAAGGACACTTTATTTTCATAACAGGAACAATTCATCAGGTGGAAGTCTCAATCCTGAATATCTACGCCCCTAATATAAAAGCACCCACATATGTAAAAGAAACATTACTAGAACTCAAAGAATACATCAAACCCCACACTCTAATAGTAGGAGATTTCAACACTCCGCTCTCACCAATGGACAGGTCAACCAGACAGAAACTTAACAGAGAAATAAGAGAACAGATGTAATGAACCAAATGGACTTAACAGACATCTATAGAACATTCCACCCAAACAGAAAAGAATATAACTTATTCTCAGCATCTCACAGAACCTTCTCAAAAATTGATCTCGTAATTGGTAACAAAGCAAACATCCATAAATACAAAGAAATTGTAGTAACCACCTGTGTACTATCATTGGATCACCATGGAATAAAGTTAGAATTCAACAACAATTCTACCCCCAGAAAGCCCACAAACTCATGGAAACTGAACAGTCAACTACTGAACCACCCCTGGGTCAAAGAAGAAATAAAGAAATTGAAGTCTTCCTTGAATTCAATGAAAATAAAGACACAACATACTCAAACCTATGGGACACTATGAAAGCAGTGCTAAGAGGAAAGTTCATAGCACTAAGTGCCCACATATAGAAAACGGAGAGATCACACATTAGAGACTTAATAGCACACCTGAAAGCTCTAGAAAAAAAAGAAGCAGACTCACCCAGGAGTAGAAGACTGGAAATAATCAAACTGAGGACTGAAATTAACAAAATAGAAACACAGAAAACAATCCAAAGAATCAATGAAACAAAAAGCTGGTTCTTGGAGAAAATCAACAAGACTGATAAACCCCTATCCAAACTAATCAAATGGCAGAGACAAAACATGCAAGTTAATAAGATCAGAAATGAAAAGGCGGATATAACCACAGATACAGAGGAAATTCAGAGAATCATCAGATCTTATTACAAAAGCCTGTATGCCACAAAATTGGAAAATGTAAAAGAAATGGATATTTTTTAGATAAGTACCATATACCAAAATTAAATCAAGACCAGGTGAACAATTTAAATAGACCTGTAAGTCGCGAAGAATTAGAAGCTGTTATCGAAAACCTCCCTACCAAAACAAAGCCCAGGACCAGATGGTTTCAAGGCAGAATTCTACCAGAACTTCCAAGAAGAGCTAATACCTATACTCCTTAATGTATTTCACAAACTAGAAACAGAAGAGTCATTGCCAAATTCCTTTTATGAAGCTACAGTTACCCTGATACCAAAACCACACAAAGACTCAACCAAGAAAGAGAATTACAGGCCAATCTCACTCATGAACATCGACGCAAAAATTCTCAATAAAATACTGGCAAACTGAATCCAAGAACACATCAAAAAAAATTATACATTATGATCAAGTAGGCTTCATCCCAGAGATGCAGGGCTGGTTCAACATACTCAAATCTATCAATGCAATCCATCATATAAATAAACTTAAAGAAAAAAAACATATGATCATTTCATTAGATGCTGAAAAAGTATTTGACAAAATTCAATACCCCTTTATGATAAAGGTTTTGGAGAGATTAGGGATACAGGGTTCATACCTAAATATAATAAAAAGCTATATACAGCAAGCCAACAGCTAACATCAACTTAAATGGAGAGAAACTCAAAGCCATTCCACTAAACTCAGGAACACGACAAGGCTGTCCTCTCTCTCCATACTTCTTCAATATAGTGGTTGAAGTTCTAGCAATAGCAATAAGACAACATAAGGAGATCAAGGGGATTCAAATTGGAAAGGAAGAAGTTAAACTTTCGTTATTTGCAGATGATATGATAGTGTACATGAGCAAACCCAAAAACTCTACCAAAGAACTCCTTCAGCTGATAAACACCTTTAGTAATGTGTCAGGATACACGATCAACTCCAAAAAATCAGTTGCCCTCCTATACACAAAGGATAAAGAAGCAGAGAAGCATTACCTTTCAAGATAGCCACAAATAGCATAAAATATCTTGGGGTAACTCTAACCAAGGAAGTAAAAGATCTATTTGACAAGAACTTTAAATCTTTTAAGAAAGAAATTGAAGAGCATACCAGAAAATGGAAGGATCTTCCTTGCTCTTGCATTGGGAGGATCAACATAGTAAAAATGGCAATTATACCAAAAGCAATCTATAGATTCAATGCAATCCCCATCAAAATCCCAACAAAATTCTTCATAGACCTTGAGAGAACAATAATTGACTTTATATGGAAAAACAAAAAAAGAAAAAAACAGGATAGCCAAAACAATTCTATACAATAAAAGTACTTCCGGAGGCATTACCATTCCTGACTTCAAACTCTATTACAGAGCTACAGTAATGAAAACAGCTTGGTATTGGCATAAAAACAGAGAAGTAGATCAATGGGATTGAATCGAAGACCCAGATATTAACCCACAAACCTATGAACACCTGATTTTCGACAAAGGAGCTAAAATTATACAATAGAAGAAAGAAAGCATCTTTAATAAATGGTGCTGGCATAACTGGATTTCAACATGTAGAAGAATGAAAATAGATCCATATCTATCACCATGCACAAAACTCAAGTCCAAATGGACTAAAGACCTCAACATAAATCTGACCACACTGAACCTGAGAGAAGAGAAAGTGGGAAGTAGTATGCAACACATGGACACAGGAGACCACTTCCTACATATAACCCCAGTAGCACAGACAATAAGAGCAACAACAAATAAATGGGCCCTCCTGAAACTGAGAAGCTTCTGTAATGCAAAGGACACTGTCATTACGACAAAAAAGCAACCTAATGAATGGGAGAAGATCTTCATCAACCCCGCATCAGACAAAGATCTGATCTCCAAAATATATAAAGAACTCAAGAAACTAGACATTAAAACTCTAATTAACCCAATTAAAAAAATGAGGTACTGAACTGAACAGAGAATTCTCAACAGAAGTTCAAATGGCCAAAAGACACTTAAGGTCATGTTCAACCTCCTTAGTGATCAGGAAAATCAAAACATCTTTGAGATACCATCTTATACCTGTCAGAATGGCTAAAATAAAAAACACCAATGATAGCCTATGCTGGAGAGGATGTGGAGTAAGGGGAACACTCATCCATTGTTGCTGGCAATGCAAACTTGTGCAACCCCTTTGGAAATCAGTGTGGCAGTTTATCAGGAAACTGGGAGTGAACCTACCTCAGGACCCAGCAATTCCACTCTTGGGAATATACCCAAGAGATGCCCAATCATACTACAAAAGCATTTGTTCAAGTATGTTCATAGCAGCACTATTTGTAATAGCCAAAACCTGGAAACAACCTAGGTCCCCCTCAATAGAAGAATGGATAAAGAAGGTGTGGCACATATACACTTTAGAGTTCTACTCAGTGGTAAAAAACAATGACATCTTGAATTTTGCATGCAAATGGATGGAAATAGAAAACACTTTATTGAGATAACCCAGACCCCAAAAGATGAATATGGTATGTACTCACTCATAAGTGGATTCTAGCTATAAACAAAGGACATTGAGCAATAGTTTGTGATCCTAGAGAAGCTAAATAAGAAGGTGAACCCAAAGAAAAACATATAGTTGTCCTCCTGGTTATTGGTAGTTGACAAGATCGCCGGGCAAAAGTTGGGAGTAGGGAGGTGGGGTGGGTTGGAGGAAAGGGGAGATGGGGAAAGAGAAGGGGAGGATTGGGGAGAGCTTGGGGGAATGGGATAATTGAGATGGAAGAAGGGTGGATATGGGAGCAGGGAAGAAGTTATCCTAATAAGGGAGCCATTTTAGGGTTGGCTAGTCTTGGCTCTAGAGGGGTTCCCAGGTGTCCAAGGGGATTTCCCCAACTAGGTCTGTAGGCAGCAGAGGAGAGGGTGCCTGAACTGGCCTTCTCCCATAGACACACTGATGAATATCTTGCATATCACCATAGATCCTTCATCCAGCAATGGATGGAGATAGAGACAGAGACCCACATCAGAGCAACGGACTGAGCTCCCAGGGTCCAGGTGGAGAACAGAAGGAGGGAGAATATGAGCAAGGAAGTCAGGACCACAAGGGGTGTCTGATCTAATGGGAGCTCACCAAGGCCAGCTGGACTGGGACTGATGGAGCATGTGATCAAACCGGAGTCTCTGAATGTGGCTGACAATGAGGGCTGACTGAGAAGCCAAGGACAATGGCACTGGATTTTGATTCTACTGCATGTACTGGCTTTTTAAGGGCCTAGTCTGTTTGGATGCTCACCTTCCTAGACCTGGATGGGGGGGGGGCTTGGACTTCCCACAAGGCAGGGTACCCTGACTTCTCTTAGGACTGGAGAGCGAGGGGGAGGAGGAGTGGGGGAAGGGGGAGAGAAAAGGGAGGATGGGAGGAGGTGGAAATGTTAAATAAATTTAAAAAAATAAAAATAAAAAAAAATAAAGGCAAAATCATATGAGAATTTTGCAGTAGAGGCTTGGGATAAGAAGGAAACTCAACTACTAATAGAGGAAATACGCAGTCCGTCTTTAAGGAAGGAGAGGTGCGTGGATGAGGGCTGGCAAGCCTGGAAACTGGAATTATGGGGAAAGTCACAGTAATAACCTTGAGGGGGTGACTGGGAAACGTTTCCTGGATACTAACTAAATAAAAAGAAATCGCCTACCATTTCCCCTAAATGTCAGGAATACAAGTTGTTCATTTCTCCACTGTACCTATTATGGAGCATTAAATGGTATGGGCAGGAGCCATTCATTAACCATGTGTTAAGACCAGAACAAGAGGCGAAAGGCTTGCTAACCATCAAAAACAAATGTTCACTAAACAAAGAAAAAATAGTATTTACTTGAAATTTCAACGGAAGAAATTGAAAATCTGCCGCGTACCGCGCCCCCGTGTCTGCGCTCTGTGCACTGGCACCCAGTTCCTGAGCTTTGGGCAAGGAGGCTGGAGGTTAAAATACACAGACACACACAGACAGAGAGACAGCGACACGGGTCATCCTTGAATTCCCCAAGAATGCCCCCTTTATTGTGTTGAGGGGCAGATTATATAGAGACAGCCACGCCCCAGCCAAATCCACCAGAAACCACTCTCCTGCCATCAGGAACTCCTGAAGGTCTCGTGCTCAGAGCAGCTGTAGGCACTCAGATCAGGGGAAAACAAGAAATTCAGGATCTGGGGTCTCACTGCTCCCAACAAAAATGTACATTTAAGTATGTGATTACTACTCAGTAACCTTTATTCCGAGAGCACGATCAATTCATTAGGATCCCTGTTTCTAGAAAGCAGTTCAGATAACAGACGAGCAGAGATAATAATCCAAGACAGTAAGAGTTTAAGGAAGTAGTCAAGAAAAGCCCTAAGAACACAAAGCTCAGCTTGCAGAAACTAAACCCAAATAAATGACAGTCACTAAGACTAAAATAAAATCAATTACATATGTTGGATTACTTATTAATATTTTAGTGAGTGGGCACATTAAAAATACTTTTTTTGAGCTGCATGCTGGAGCACACCTTTAATCCCAGCACTCAGGAGGCAGAGGCAGGCGGATCTCTGTGAGATCGAGACCAGCCTGGTCTACAGAGCTAGTTCCAGGACAGCCAGGGCTATTACACAGAGAAACCCTGAATCAAATACCAAACAAACAAAAAAAACTTTCATGGAGTTATTTGTATCCATTTACTGCAAATTGTTTTTTTTTCTAAGAGGACAGTTCCCTATTATGCATGCACGTCTTTTTCAACAAAATGCGTATTATTACTAGCAGATTTGATACCAAATAAATTTGATATACGCGTTCCAAGAATCGTAACCAGGAAAAATGTAAGCACTATGAGGAATACTTACAACTTAAGAGAACAAAAGGGAGAAAAACGACAATCACTGTTAGCCGGAAGTTACTGGCCTTACTCGTGTCTACAGCCACAGACCTTAACAGTAGAGCTAAACACCTGGCAAAGGCTGAATGAGATCAGTAATGTCTTAAAAGGTGAAGCAGGAGTTTGCAGGTGACTATGGAAGCTTTTGGGCAAATTAAGGACCACAGGCAAAGGCAAGCATTAGGACCTGCAACATCTAGGTGCCTAGAAGAGATGGAAACCAAATGCTCAAGAGGGAAGCACGGAGTGAAAGGTGGTGCTGAGGCCACGCCCAAAGGTCAAAGTTGGGGGGCGGAGGGTTGAAAGGCTTGCAATAGAATTCAAATTTTTGGAGATTTACTCAAAAGCGAACTGACTTGGTTCTGAACAAATACATGATTCTAGGTTTGCTTCTGGTGGGTAAGTTTGGGAAAGTGAAGCTCAGAACAGTGCTGAGATAAGAGCGGCATCTACAATTGCTTTTGTGGACATGGCCTCGACCAAGTTTTATCTGGTCATAAAAAACATCCACGATCTCAGTCTTCCCGCCATCCTACCATCCTACCGCTCTATCTCTGAAACACCCACAGCTTCCAGGACTTTGTTATTAATGGCGCAGTGGGCACCAACCAGGTGCCCGAATGCTTGCTAATTTCATCATCTACAGGATTACTCTCCTCAATCTGTCGGCACACCCAGCCCCGCCCTCTACTCTGAAGACACCCAGAAGCTGTGACAGAAAAAGGACTTGGCCTAAGGACGTTAACGAAGGAGGAGACAACTGGCTCTGTCCCTCAAAGTTCTCATTTTTGTCCCTGATCGTCTACTTAGATCCCAGTTGGCATCCCAAATGGCCAGGTCAGCCTCCTGTTCTAGTCTTTTTTTTTTTTTTAATTTCTATTTTCTTTCTTACCTTAATGATGTATATACAGAGCTACAAAATTAATTCATCAGGTAAGGAAACAACCGTGCTAAGCTCCTTGCTGAATTAAAAAAAATTTTTAAAAAAGCTGCTCATATTTAGAATCTGAGTGAGCAAAACCACATGATGATCTTACATTTGGTTTCCATATTTTATTGATTATTTATGTTGTATCTAAATATCCAACATATTTTCTCTTCGGACAATTTGTCAGTATAGACCTAGCATAAACTCCTCCTGTCAGACATTGAATGTTATTTAGGACTCTAAAACAGTATTTTAAACTTCTCACCTGCATGCCCGGGGCCCCGGGATCGACCCCCGTGTCCAGGTCGGCGACGAGCAGCCCGCGCCCGGGTAGCGGCACAGGAAGGAGGCAGCCCCGGTCTCGGTCTCCTTCTTCGGGAGAAGACCGTGGAAAGGGAAGGGCTCCTCGGTCGCGGCGGTGGCCGTGGACGCGGTCCAGGGGACGGAGGAAGAGGAGGAAGAAGCGAACCGCCAGGCTGCTCGTGGACGGGCGGCGAGGCGAGCCCGGGGCGGGGAGGGGGCGGGGCCGTGCCGCCGGGAACCAATCGCGTGCGGGCAGAGCTTCCGAGCCAATGACGTCTGCACCAGACCGAAACGGGCTCCTCTTCTGTCCTGCTCTTGGCCACCGGGATTCCTGAAAAATTTCTGCCTACTTCTCTCCATCGGTGTTCCTGTTTTCTCCTTCAGATTCAGCGCTGTCCTTAAACTATAGTTGGCATTTTTTTTTTCTATTAGGCTACCCAGTGACGGTGGCCAGCTTCTGCGTCCTGTGGTCCCTGAATGAGCTGGCTGTGCCTATACCTACCAGGGTAATCTTAATTGCCCCACTGACAATCGTATTAGACCCTCTCTCAGCGATTCAATACAGTGTATGAAATCCCCATTTTTGTTGACAGCTTCACATGTAAATCATCATGTGTGTGCTTTGTTTTGCATTAAATAACAAGAGTCGGCGTCAAGTCTAATAAATAAAGTCTTAAAAAATAAAGCCTACCGGGATTTCTAAATCGGAAAGCAAGTGCAAGTGACATTTGGATATATCTAAACCACACAGATTAGTTTACCTGATAACAAAGCAGCAGTATGCAGTTGTTGCCTGCTCTCATAATTAAAAAGAAACCATTTCAGAGAGGAAAAGAATTTTTTCCTATGCAATCACGGGCCCTTTGCATTTCTGTGGACTCCAGCGTAAGAGGCAGATGCACGGAATACCTTATATGTCACTTTTCAAACCACAGTCCTCCCAGTGACTCCGAACTTTGCTCTGGTGTCTGCAGCAATTCCTGCTGATTGCCTTCATTGGTCATTCTATAAGGCCCGAAGAGTTTGCTCTTGCTGGTGAGGGAAAGGCAGCAAGGTCAATGTTATCTTCATTCCCAACCAGGATTCATTACCTTTAGGACAGCATTGGAAAGCACTTAAGTATCTGAGCAGCAGAGGAAAGAGAATGACAAACTCTCCAGGGACTTTCAGTACTGAGCATGCAGTGGCAGAAGGAACTCATGTGCAGCTTCACGGGAGCCTTGGCCACCACTTCATTTCACATAGAGGAAATGACTGGAGGCCCCGGGTTACAAAACAACTCTCTGCTGAGACTAAGTTGTCTTCATGGTCTGCCTGCAGTGCTTTCTACCCTACAGTGTTGTGCCCACCAACCAGTGTACGAATGCCTACTCAGTGAGTGCTGAGAACTGCTTTTTATGAAAACTAAGTGCCAGGGTTTTTAAGAACTGAATTTCAAGTTCTCTGCTGCATCTCCCACAATTTTTAAACATTTTTTTCTACAATTTTAAGGAGACATCTGATGCCATGTCAGAGACTAGGAGACCTAAAGGACATTATTTCTGGTGTACGTATGGACTAGCATTCTTTATCTCGTTGATTTCTTGGTAGCCAGTTCAATGCCTAACATCCTTCACGTACAAAACACTCAAACACTGAAACAAAGCCAACCACTCTGTCCCTCATTCTGCAATTTTATTTTCATTCCATACAGATTTTAATCTGGATGTGATTTGCATTTTTGAAGATGTGACTTCCATTATAAATACACCACAATAAAATATCTCTTCTAAGTAGATAAGATCATAAAATGTGTTAAATTATAATTTAAATAATTTCTTGGGATCAAAATGTTAATTTTTCTTTAGGGTTGTTACCTTATAATTACAAAGTTGATGAAAACAATACAAATAAATCTTAAGATTAAAAATGAGGAGAAAAGGAGGGGACGGGAAGGGAAGACAAGGCAGCTTTTACCCAGATGTGTGGCAGGAATAAGCTACACTTGCATTAGTAACAGACTGCTTGAGTTGATAAGGATGAGATTTCCATGTGTATGCACGTCTCCTATAAAACCAGAGCCATCAGCTGCTACCTTTTAGGGAGCAAAACTGGGATACAGAAGTATTATATTCCTGTCTCAAAGGTGACAACAACAAGATCCGGGAGTACAGCTACTCCCATCTTGTTGAACCAACCACCCATGACAAATGTCATCTTTGCTATAACCGTTGCATAGATTGGAGATAAGATGGATATAATGAAATATTGGAAATTAAATACAAAACACCCCAGAGAGCACTACATGCTGTGCTTTCCTGACCATCCCCCAGCACTTGCTCCACGTGGGAGTCCCTGAGTATGTTTGAAAGACTAACATTTATGTCATGTGGTCCCTACATTATGGAATGAGACACCTACAATCCTAGCTCGTAGAAGCAAAAGGATTTTGAGCTGGAGGCCACTCTGGGCTATACAACCAGACCCTGTCTCAAAAAACAAAAAGCCTTAATTTGTTATCAATGTAAATTTTTTTTCTGTGGTACAGGATATTGATTGGAGTTTGATTTTTAAGTGTTAAAGTATTTCAGTTTGTTTATTCTTTTTTTTAATGCCCTCTGATAAAATTTTCTTCAGGAGCAAATTAAGATTAAAAAGTTACATATTTTATTGTCAAAATATAATTATAAAGTATAAATGCAGAAAAAGGTTTACAATGGTGCAATCCTATCCTCCAGTCAACAGTTCTGAATAAAGTCTATCCTTATCCACACTAGTGGAGAAAGACTCAGAGGGTTGGAATCCACTGAAGACAACCTACTTTGCCATCCACTGAATTTTAAGATCTCTCAAGGCTCCAGTGAACTCTTCTTTCAGATCTTTCTCCTTCTCTGAGTCCTTTTCTTTCTCTTTGCTGCCATTCTTCGTCTTTGTTGGTGGAGGTAGTAGATGGTAGTGCACAGGGATCACCTCCTAGGAAGGTGAGAGAAGCCTTAGGTGCATTCGCTTCCCTTCACACACTAAAACCATTGTCAGTAGCTGAGAACGTTGCGATAGGGGTTGTGCCTGGGTTGTAGTACACCGTATTCCAGATCCGAAGGGTCCAAAACCATCAAAAATACCAATCTACAATTACACCGTGGACACACAGGAAATAAATAATCTCATACCAGCAAAACCAAAAGAAGGAAAGCCCCCCATCACCAACAAAATAGCAATAATCAACAATCACTGGTTACGGATATCTCTCAATATCAATGGAGTCAAGTTATCCAATAAAAAGACACAGGCTAATAGAATGGATATGAAAGCAGGATCCATCCTTCTGTATACAAGCAACACACCTCAACATTAAAGATAGACATTACCTCAGAGTAACTGGTTAGAAAAAGGTTTTCCAAGCAAATGGCCCAAAGACACAAGCTGGTTTAGCCATTCTAACAGCTAACAAAATAGACTTCAAACAGAAGTAATCAAAAGAAACAGGGAAGGGCATGTCATATTCACCAAAGGAAAGATCCATCAAGATGATCTTTCAATTCTTAGTATCTACGCACGAAAGGCAAGAGCACCCACGTTAGTAAAGGAAACACCACCAGAGCTTAGATCACACATCAGCCTCCACTCATTGACAGGGGAGACTTCAGCACCCTACTCTCACCAATGGTCAGGTCACCCAAACAAAAACTAAACCGAGACACACTGGAGTTGAGAGATCTTATGAGCCAAATGGAGCTAACGGAGCATTTCATCCAAACACCAAAGAATGCACTTTCTTCTCAGAACCTCATAGCACCTTCTCCAGAACTGACCACCAACTCGGTCACAAAGCGAGTCTCCACAGATTCAAGAAAACTAAAAGAACTTCTGCATTCTCTCAGACCAGCACAGACTGAAAGTGAATCTCAACACCAAGAGCAACAACAGAAAGCCTACAAACTCATGGAAATGCAACAACTCTCTATTAAATCACTGTTGGGTCTAGGCAGAAACAAAGGAAGAAACTGAAGCCTTCCTAGAAGTCAATGAAAACGAGTGCAGAACATGCCCAAAGTTATGGGACACCACGGAAGCCGTGCTAGGAGGAAAGTTCATAGCGCTAATTGCTTGCATAAAGAAACTGGAGAGATCTCACACTAGTGACTTCACAGCTCACGGGAAAGCTTTAGCACAAAAGAAGCGGGTACACCCAACAGGAGTGGGTGCCAGGAAATAAACTGAGGGCCGAAATCAATAAACTAGAAACACGGAGAATAGTACAAAGAATCAACTAAACAGAGTTGGCTCTTTGAGAACATCAACAAGCTAGACAAACCCTTCTCCAAATTCACTAACAGACAGAAAGCCAATAGCTAGAATAACAAAACCAGAAATTGCTGGTGGCCATGTCAGAGCAGCAGTGGGCGGCTGACTTCAGGGGATCAGCCCACCAGGAAGCAAAGCTCTTCTGAGAGAGGTGATGTCAGACAGGCAAGGCCTGAGAGCCTCGGCTCTGGGATCTCTTGCTATTCTTACGTCTTTGTCCGTTTCCTGCTGCCCTTTCTCTCTGGTATCAGGCATGATGTGAATGAGCAGAGGGAGACGGCCACCGCCTTTCCTGTGGTGGGATTGTCTCATGGAAACACACCATTCTACTGGGCATTCCTACCTGTGGATTAGTATGCAGACGGCTTCCTCTCAAGCTGTATTGTCTACCTGAAGCAATGATTTTATATAATAATTATTATATAATAACAGAATTAATTAATATACATTAATAATACATAATTGTTAGTTGAAATATGATTTTGATTATTGAGAGTCTTTAATAAACATAACGAGAAATTGTGATAGAGGTTAGTTTAGTGGAAAAGTTATATCTCTAAAAGTGAGATACGGTGTTGCCCCCACCCCTGATAAAGCAGGGGCTGCAGAGGATATAAAATAAGAACAGGAATAACCATACAGCTTGTTTCCCTTGAGGAGCCGCATGGATTGTAGCTTAGGTTAGCGATTAAGAAAAGCAGTTGTGTCCCAGAAGCTAAGTTCGCTCAAGTTATTTTAACCTTACCTTTTAGAGATGTGTTCGCAGGTCTTGGGGTGCATCACAGCCAAAGCAAAGCTTTAAACACGATTTAGGGTTAGGTTAAGATGTTTC